CCCCATACCTCCTCCCTCACCCCCATCTCAGGCCCCAAGAAGACTATCCACATCAAGCAGATGTTCACCTGCACATCTGTTCATGTGGTATACTGCATCCGCTGTACCCGGTGTGGATTCCTCTTCATCAGGGAAACCAAGCGGAGGCTCGGGGACCGCTTTGCAGAACACCTACGCTCGGTTCGCAATAAACAACTGCACCTCCCAGTCGCGAACCATTTCAACTCCCCCTCCCATTCCTCAGACGACATGTCCATCCTGGGCCGCCTGCAGTGCCACAACAATGCCACCCGAAGGTTGCAGGAACAGCAACTCATATTCCGCTTGGGAACCCTGCAGCCCAATGGTGTCAATGTGGATTTCACAAGTTTCAAAATCTCCCCTCCCGCTACCGCATCCCAAAACCAGTCCAGCTCGTCCCTGCCTCCCTAACCTGTTCTTCCTCCCACCTATCCCCTCCTCCCACCTCAAGCCGCACCTCCATCTCCTACCGACTAACCTCATCCCGCCCCTTGACCTGTCCGTCCTCCCTGGACTGACCTATCCCCTCCCTAACTCCCCACCTACACTCACCTTTACTGGCCCCATCCCCGCCTCTTCGACCTGTTTGTTTCCTCTCCTCCTATCCTCTCCTCTATCCATCTTCTATCCGCCTCCCACTCTCTCCCTATTTACTTCAGAACCCCCTTCCCCTCCCCCATTTCTGATGAAGGGTCTAGGCCCGAAACGTAAGCCTCTCTGCTCCTATGATGCTGCTTGACCTGCTGTGTTCATCCAGCCCTGCACCTTGTTGTCTCGGATTCACCAGCATCTGCAGTTCCTACTATCTCTGGCACTATAAGTAGTGACATGTAAACTTTTCACTGTACTCATGTGAATACGTGACAATAAAGCTGACAATGTCAGCAAATTAATTCTAATTCCAATTCCAGTGGCGTCCAGCAGCATCTGGGTGTCAGGCTGGGGCCTGGGCTACTCTCAGCCCAAAATCCTGGGATGACAGGTCAAGGATCAAGTCAAGATAGCACAGAGTGAGTTGGGGGAAGCCAGCCAGGTGCAGTCAAAGATGTGGCGCTAGAGATTTGTCTCAAGCTGACCTTGTCTGACTCAACCCTGCCATGTCCCAGTACTGTGAGCTGACAGTATTCTAGTGATTTGTCCTCCAGATGCAGTCTCACCTGTGTATAACTAAAGCATAATGTCCCTACTTTTGTGTTCAACCTCCTTTGCAATATGTGAAAAATTCTTTTAGCTTTCCTAATTACTTGTTGTACCTACAAACTAATCTTCTGCAATTCCACTCTGGATCCCATTGTGTCTCAGAATTCTGCAATTTTTCACCATTGCTTCTTTTTCATTCTTCATGCCGAAGTAGACAATTTCATATTTTCCTACACAAACACAAAGTTGCTGGAAAAGCTCAGCAGGTCTGGCAGCATCTGTGAAGGAGAAAACAGTGTTAACGTTTCGGGTCTGGTGACCCTTCCTCAGAACTGATGGTGGCTGGGAAAACGTCAGTTTGTATGCAGAAAATAGGAAGGTGGGTGGGATAGGGAGTAAACAATAGGATAGAGCCCAAAGAGAGAGAAAGACAGCTGGAAATACTTGGTCAAGCACCAGGAGTGACAGTGAAATTAACGTTGGTGGGCAAGAAGAAAGCTTGGAATGGAAATCCCGTCAGAGAGAGGAGCAGAACTTCTTCAAGGTGGGCATGCCTGGAAGAGATGTGGCAGTGACTTAAATACTAAATAAAAACCGAAAGAACTGAGGATGCTGTAAATCTGGAACAAAAACAAAGCTGCTGGAAAAGCTCAGCAGATCTGGCAGCATCTGTGAAGGAGAAAACAGAGTTAACGTTTTGGGTCCCTCAGAACTGATGTGGGAAAACGTCAGTTTATATGCAGAAAATTGTTCTGAGGAAGGGTCACCAGACCCAAAATGTTAACTCTGTTTTCTCCTTCACAGATGCTGCCAGACCTGCTGAGCTTTTCCAGCAACTTTGTTTTTGTTCCTGATTTACAGCATCTGCAGTTCTTTCTGTTCATATTTTCCTAAATTGTACTCCATTTGCCACATCATTACCCACTCACTTGAGTTAACTATATTTTTTGTAACCTCCTTGTGCCTTCTTTACAACTTGCTTCTCTATCTTGTGTTGTAAGCAAATTCATCCAATTCATGAATATAAATTGTAAGCATTTGAAGTCCCAAGCACTGATCCCTGTGGCACACCAAGTATTACATCTTGCCAAGCAGAAAAAGCCTACTTATGCTTACTCTATTTCCTGTTTGCCTCCCAATCTTCTATCCATCCCAATATGCAATCCCCCACATCGTGAGCTTTTATTTGTCATTTTATCAAATGCCTTCTGGAAATCCATGTGCAAAGTTCCACAACACATGTTACCTCAGAGAGTTCCAATAGATTGGTCAAACATGATTTCCCTTTCACAAAACAATATTTACTCTGCCAGATTCAGTTGAAGTAATCTAAGTGCCCTACTATATATTCTTCACCAATAGTTTATAATAATTTCCTTACGATAGATGTTAAACTAACAGGCCTGTGGATTCCTTCTTTTTGTCTGCCTCCCATTTTGAATAAAGGAGTTACTTTAACTATCTTCCAAACGATCAGGACCATCTTTGAATCAAGGGAGTTTAGGAAAATTAAATCTAATGCATCCAACTATCTCACAGGATTTTTATTTGAAGAGCCTAGGATGAAATCCACCAGGACCCAGCACTTATCAGCCCACAGTTCCAACAATTTACTCATTACAACTTCTGTGGTGATTGTGACTTTCTGAGTTCCTCCATCCCTTCTATTTCCTGATTTATTCCTGCTTCTGGGATATTGTTTGTATCCTCCATACTGAAGATTGATGCAAAATACTACTCAATTAATCTACCATTTCCTTATTTTCCTAATTAATTCCCTAGTCTCATTTTCTATAAAACTAACACTCTGTTAGCTCTTTTCTCAATTAAATATTTATTGAAAGTCTTCCTATCTGTTTTTATGTTCCTGGCTAGATTTCTCTCATACTCTAAGTTTTGCCTATTTTGCTGAGTTGTTTTTAACATTCTGCCCAATCTTCTGACCTGCCACCTATCCTTCCACAATTGTATGATTTTCACATTTAGTTCAATACTAAGTTTAGAGTTAACCATGGATGTCTATCCCTTGGAATTTTTTATTATTTGTTGGAATGCATCTATTCTATTTTTCTGAAATATTCCCTTAATTATCTGCAAATGTATTTTTTAAAAAATCATTCATGGAATGTAGATATTACTTGCCGGACCAGCATTTATTGCCTATTATTAGTTGCCCTAGGTAAGCTAGTGTTGAGCTGCTTTCTTAATCAACTGCAGTCCATGTAGCATAGGGACACCCACAATGCTTTGGAGGGAGTTCCATGATTTTGATCCAGCCACACTGTAGGAATGGTGATATTTTTCCAAGTCAGGATGGTAAATGACTTGGAGGGGAACTTGCGGGTTGGCAGCATTCCCATGCATCTGGTACCCTTAGCCTCTAAATGGTAGTGTTTGTGGGAATGGAAGGTGCTGACTAAGGTACCTTGGTGAATTTCTTTAACACATCTTGTTAGATGGTACACAGTGCTCCTACTGAACGTCAGCAGTGGAACGAATGAATGTTTGTGGATGTGGTGCCAATCAAGCGGGCTGCTTTGTCAGTCCTGGATGGTGTCAAGCTTCTTGAGTGTCATTGGAGCTGCACCCATCCAGGCAAGTGGGGAGTATTCCCTCACACTCCTGACTTGTGCCTTGCAAATGGTTGACAGGTTTTGGGGAGTCAGGAAGTGGGCTACTTTATTTAGATTTGTCTATTTATCTAGGTTGCTAACTCTAGTTGAATGTTTTACTGCAGTGTTTCACCAGATGATCTTCCGTAACCCACTGGGTTAAACAAGATTCTTTCCTTCTCCAGATAAAGAGACTTATTCGAAGTCAATGGAAAAAACGATGATATTGTTTTAATTTCTTCCTGATGTTTTGCTGAGGGGCGGTGGTGTGCGGGAAACCCAAGCTTCATTCCGATAGTTCTGAGGACCTGAAAGTTAACTCTGACTTTTTTTTTCACAGATGCCGAGCTTTTCCAGCAATTTCTGTTTTTGTTCATTCCTGGAAGGTGAACACCATGTGCCCCGGTGATAGTAATGCCATGCGCGTGACCCAGCCCGCGCTCCCAGCGCCGCGGCGCTCCCCCCCCACCCCACGTCGCGGCCCGGGTTACGCGCACGTCAGCCGTGCAGATTGTTCTAGCAAAAAGCGGCAGCGCGATTCCGAGCCGAAGGCCGGCGGTACTGACCCTGGGAATGGAGGGGCAGCAGCAGGAGGGCCTGGGCCTAAGCCACAGCCTGACCCCTCATGTTTACTGGGCACAGAGGCACCAGGAGCTGTACCTGAGGGTGGACCTGAACGGAGTCCAGGTGGGAATGGGGAGATTGGAAATGAGACTGGGATTGGGGGAGGCATTGGAGTAGGCGATTGGGAGGAATGGGAAATTGACAAGGTTGGGATTGGGGTATCGGGCATGAGATTTGGGAATGAGGAGTTTGGGGGATTAGGATTGAGATTGGGGCTGGAGGAATGAGAATGGGGCTAGGGTATTGGGGTAAGGGCATTGGAAATTATGAGATAGGGTGAATGGGAAAGGGGTTAGCGCAATTGGAATCGGGCTCTGATGTTGAGAATAGGTATTTGGAATGATGGAAATCAGATTGGACATGGGAATTGTGAGGATTTGGGAATAAAATAAAAATTATCTTGGAGTGTAAACTGAATAAGTTTAACAGACGATTAGAGCAGTGTGGATGTATAAATCTGATCTGACATTTCTGGGATAGTAGGAACTGCAGATGCTGGAGAATCCGAGACAACAAGGTGCAGGGCTGGATGAACACAACAGGCCAAGCTCTGCTCCTATGATGCTGCTTGGCCTGCTGTGTTCATCCAGCCCTGCACCTTGTTGTCTCTGACATTTCTGGGAATTGGGATGTGAGTAGTTTAGGTGGTTTGACAGGTACTAACAGAATAGGTTAGAGTGTGAGAGCTGGTGAATTCAATTGAGCGGTGGGTCAGGGGTCAGTGCTATGACCAACAGTGAGGTAAGATAGGCTGTATGACTGGTAAAATCAGGAGATTATTTTCCTTACATTGTCAGGTGGAATTACTTTGAGCTGGATCTGTAATTCTTAAAAGTTAATCAATAATGTGAGATGCACAAGGTAAGATAACTTACCAAATTGGCAACATACCTGTAACTTCTATAATGGTGCAGACGTGGTTAATGGTTACAATACAGGATTTGCTGATTACACCAAGTAATGTGGCAGATCATAAATCTGAGGAAGATCGGCATTAAATGGGATTTGATCCAGTTTGATTGATGAGCTAAAGACTAGGAGATTAATTTTTATCTAAGGTTAATATGGAATAAGGTTACTTTGGAATATGAAATATGGGACATAGAATATGGATCCATTAGTAAATGTGGGAAATAGAAGGTGATACTATTGAATGGTTACTTCCAGCAAACAATCAATGTGAAAGCATTGTTGTCAAAATTACTCAGACTGAACTGTATTACAAAAATTATTTATGTCAAGTCCGAACTCTGTTCTGATGCGCATATTTATCTCTGTGCGGTCATATCTAATTTAAGACCTTGTATACGAGATGGAATACGTATTATATCAAGAAATGATCTTGGATCAGAAGATGTTGAATCCATATGGTTGGAGGTAAGAGATAACAAGGGGAGGAGGAAATTGATAGGCATAGTCTATCGGCCCCCTGACAGTGGGGATTCCACAGCACAGAAAATAAATCAACATAAAATGATGGCATGGTAAAAAGCAGCACATTAATCATGGGTAATTTTATTTTTCATATAATTTGGCAAGTGTAGCCATGAGGAAGAATTTATTAGGGATGGTTTCCTACAATAATATGCTGTGGAACCAAGGCTTTGGATCTGGTGATGTGTAATCAGGCACATATAATAAATGATCTCAGAGTAAACGATTCTATAGGAAACAGTGATCATAATGTGGTAAATTTAGCGTGCAGCTTGAGAGTGAGAAACTTAGGTCAGAAATGAATGTGTTAAACTTAAATAAGGACAATTACAAAGGCAGAGTTATCTGCATTGTACTGAGGGAGAAGATGGTTGATGAATAATGGCACATGTTGAAGAAAATAACTCATGACTCACACCAAAAGTGAGGAAGAAAGATTCTAGGAAAACATAAACTAATTACATTTCGTGAAGGATAGCATCATATTAAAATAAAAATATACAAAGTGACAAACATTAGGGCTAAACCAAATGATTGGGAAAGTTTTTAAAAAATAAACCAAAACAGAAATAGAAAAAACAAACTTTGAAGGTAAACTAGCAAGTAATATCAAAACAAACAGCGAGACATTGTTTGAATATGTGTAAAATGAAATGGACACAATGCTTTGCTTTGAGAATGAGATTGGGGACGTAATAATGGTGAATCAGGAAATGGCAGAGCTGAATAAATAAAAACAGAAATTGTTGGGCCAGGAGCAGGCAGGTGGGATTAGTTTAGTTTGGGATTATGTTCAGCGTGGACTGGTTTGACCGAATGATCTGTTTCTGTGCTGTGTGACATTATGACTCCTATGAAAAACTCAAGCCAGTCTGGCATTTCAGATCCAATGACCCTCTTCAGAACTGGGTTATTGGACCTGAAACATTAACTCTGTTTTCTCTTCACTGATGCTGCAAGACGTGTTGAGTTTTTCCAGCTATTTTTGTTTTATTTTGTATTCACTCGTGGGATCTGGGCATTGCTGGCTGGCACACATTTATTGTGCGTCCCTTGTTGCCCTTAAGAAGATGGTGAGCTGCCTTTTTGAACCGCTGCAGTCCATGCACATTGGATTGACTTACGATGCCCTTCAGGAGGGAATTCCAGGATTTTGATCCAGTGACACTGAAAGAAAGGTAATATATTTCCAAAACACATGGTGATCAGGGTATCTACTACCAGTGTCCTTCAAGATGGAAGTAGTCATGGGTTGGGGGTAATGTTTTGCAATGAAGGAATCCAGCTGCTATGGCCCTTTGATACTTCAACTTAAAACTTTTACAAAACAGCAGAGTGATCATGTTTAATGTACCATTTTCTGCACCTCCTTAAACTTCTGGATCCTTTGCATTAATTTTCTATTATCAAACTTTTATCCGATATTTGACCCATAGATTTTGAGATTAATAAGAGGAAATAATCCTTTCTGCACCAACAAAAACCTCTTGCCAAAAAACTGAAAATTCACCACAAAGTTAATATCAATCATTGATATCCAAAGCGGGTATCAGCATTGTGAAGTCCTGTCCTACTTGGTGTTTAGTTTATTCAAAAAGAGCGTGAGGTGTAATAAATTATTTCACTGGTGAAATTGGAGATGAGGTTTTCCAGTTATGAAAATCTAACCATGGTCAACAATGCTTGTTGACAGTACAGATTATTGTGCGCTTTTTCATTTGGTTTTCATAGTCTCAGCCCACACGTGTAGGAGAGATAAAATGGGAAACCGAATATTGTGCAATGAGCTTCAGCTTCAGACACCAACAGCACTCAAAATTCTGTTAAGTTTCAAAGGTTTCTGTTTATACTTGTATATCGCCAAACATAAGGATAAAATTGTGTGACAACTAGGTGCAACTTTATTAATACATCTGAAATAAATTTATTGCAAAAAAGCCTATTATTCAGAGTCTAGTTCACTTGTGTATAACCTGATTTAAATTAGTTGAAAATTATTTCAGAAGGCTGTAGTGTATAGGGCCATTTACGAGTTTGATTGGTGTGCTATAGTTAAAAATGAAAAATAATATCTAAAAGCTTTTAAAGCATGCCTATCAATGTCATTTATACTTAAAGAAAAATTTAATACTAGAGTGCAATAAAACAAAGACCTATGTATGCTGAAGATCTGAAACAGAAGCAGAAATTGCAGGAGAAATTCAGATCTGGCAGCATCTGTGGAGAGAGAAAACAGAGTTAACATTTTGAGTCCAATTACCAGTTTTGTAGAAGGATTATTGACTTGAAGCATTAACTCTGCTCTCTCTCTATAGATAGTCCCAGGCCTGCTGAGTTTCTCCAGTAAATTATGTTTTTGTTTCTTAATACCGAGAGTCTACTTGAAAGCCTGCTGGCCAGTACAACTGTGGAAAATCCGAATGATAATTAATTTGACCTGAGGCTGGTTTCTCTAAACCAATTCAAAGATTATGTAACTCAATAACTGGCACTTGAAATTCCACAATGTTTGCACTTGTTTGACAGATTTTAGGTAAATTACATTGTAAATATCAACAGATCCTAATTGAAATGCCAGGCCCCATGTTTAAAAAAATGAAACAAGGGATAGGAAATATGTATATTCATGGCTGGCAAAGCATCATTTCCAAGCCTCAGTGCACAGAGTAAGAATAGGAATATTCTGTACACGGAAAATTTGATCAATGAGAAGAAACCAGATGTTTCCAAATGGAAAAGGAATAACAAAGCTTGAAATGTTAACCAGGCCCCACATTTAGATTGCTACAATAAAGGGAGTCATATATCTTCAGATAAATTAAAAGTTGAGTTTATCGGATTCTTAAAATAATCATTTTGTCTCTGCACCTAATACGTAATTGACTGGGTCCCCAACATCTGGCTGAAATATTGTCACTGTGTTCTAAAATGAATTTACTCAAACAATTGTTGTGTGGTCAACCGTCCTTTGAGATGCCAAATTTGAATTCTGAGAATGGAGAATTAGCAGATAAAATCACTGTCTGTGATGTTTAAATAATAAAAGAGGTATTTCAGAGAACGGACTTGAATCTCAACATTAACTTCTATGAGTTGCAGAATCATCTTTGGTGTAAGCCTTGGCCCTAGCTATTCAACTTTAATTTTTTCTGAATTTATGTGGATTCTGCTGATTTGAAGAGCAATCATGTCACCTATCATGGTTTCAAGACCAACAGTCATTTTAAATGACAGAGACAGAGGGGGAACCTGTGGATGTGGTGTATCTGGATTTCCAGAAGGCATTTGACAAGGTGCCACACCAAAGGCTGCTACATAAGATAAAGTTGCACGGTATTACGGATAATGTATTGGCATGGATAGAGGATTGGTTGACTAGTAGAAAACAAAGAGTAGGGGTAAATGGGTGTTTTTCTGGTTGGCAGTCAGTGGCTAATGGTATGCCTCAGGGATCAGTGTTGGGACTGCAATTGTTTACAATTTACATAAATGATTTGGAGTTGGGGGAACTAAGTGGGATGTGTCAAAATTTGCAGATGACACTAGCATGAGTGGTAGAGCAAAGTGTGCAGAAGACACTGAAAATCTTCAGAGGGATATAGATAGTCTAAGTGAGTGGGCAAAGGTCTGGCAGATGGAGTACAATGTTGATAAGTGTGAGGTCATCCATTTTGGTAGGAATAACAGCAAAATGGACTATGTTTTAAATGGTAAAAAATTGCAGCACACTGCTGTGCAGAGGGACTTGGGTGTCCTTGTGCATGAATCGCTAAAAGTAGGATTGCAGGTGCAGCAGGTAATTAAAAAGGCAAATGGAATTTTGTCTGTCATTGCTAGAGGGATGGAGTTTAAAAACAGGGAGGCTATGCTGCAGCTGTATAGGGTCCTGGTGAGGCCACACCTGGCGTACTGTGCAGTTTTGTTCTCCTTACTTGAGAAGGGATATACTAGCGCTAGAGGGGCTGCAGAGGAGATTCACTTGGTTGATTCCAGAGTTGAGAGGGTTGGATTATGAGGAGAGTAAACTGGGATTATATTCATTGGAATTCAGAAGAATGAGGGGAGATCTTATAGAAACATATAAGATTATGAAGGGAATAGATAAGGTGGAGGTAGGGAGATTGTTTCCACTAGCAGGTGAAACTAGGACTAGGGGGCCTAGCCTCAAAATAAAGGGAAGCAGATGTAGGACTGAGGTCAGGAGGAACTTCTTCACCCAAAGGGTTGTGAATCTGTGGAATTCCCTGCCCAGTGAAGTGGATGAAGCTACCTCGCTGAATGTTTTTAAGGCAAGGCTAGATAAATTTTTGAACAGTAAAGGAATTAAGGGTTATGGTGAGCGGTCGGGTAAGTGGAGCTGGGTCTCAAAAAGATCAGCCATGATCTTATTAAATGGCGGAGCCGGCTCGAGGGGCCAGATGGCCTACACCTGCTCCTAGTTCTTATGTTCTAAATAAGTAATTATTCAAAACTATAAGCAACAATCATTGAAAAATATTTTAATTCCCCACAGACTTTGTTTTAAAGGTATTTCAATCTCTTGTTGTCTTACACTTCTTGTGCCATGCACCTCTTCTAATCTTTTTGGAGGTTAACAAGAATGCAAGCACCTTGTAAGGGCACTGATTAAACCTTAGTGTGAAATATTGGTACGTTGCTTATTTTGTCCTTTTTTTTTATATAGTCATTGTTATCCACTGATTGATACCCATGTATCCATTTGGTCGCAGAGTTGGTCCTAGACACCTTTTGTCTCCATTGTCTTCAGTAGACCAATTGCATAGTCCTTCATAGAGCATAGGGGTGATATCCGTGTTTTCGTTATCTGCAGGAAGTCCATTTCCCATCCCTCCCAGATAATGAGGACTAAATGTACATAAACATTACTATAAATGATTTTTTATTTGTTGCTTTTTGAATAATTGAATAATACGTTGTAATTAACTTTTTGTTAAAGTACTTTGGTAAAGATTCTGGCAGCAATAAGTTTTTAAAAAATTCTGTCAGTTTAACTGGTGACTTATCCTCTCTTTTAACAGAAACCTGATATCAAGATCACTGAAAACACACTCTCATTTAAAGGTAGGTTAATCATGCTGATCCTTTTCTGTTGTGTAATTAGTCAAAACTCAAATGCCTGGATTATAAGTATGCTATACATTGAGGAAGGGTCACCAGACCTGAAACGATAACTCTGATTTCTCTTCACAGATGCTGCCAGACCTGCTGAGCTTTTCCAGCAATTTCTGTTTTAGTTATAAATATGTTACTTTCCTAGCCAAAAAAAGGCACTGTTTTCTGTTCAGTTCAAACTGTACTGGCCTTGAGCTGCTGACAGGACCTCGTTATAAACAAATAGTTCTGATTATGCCGACACGTTATTGTTTACGCGTGTGTGTGTGTCTGCCTGTCTGTCTCTCACTCACACACACACACACGTGCATGTGCTCAACATCCCCCCCCATCTCACCCAAATCCTCACATGCACTCGCATCCAAAATAAGCTCTTATTTTGCACAGTAATCATTGCTGTGGTAACTTATCAAAAGCCTTCTGGAAACCTAAGTACAAGTTTCCCCTTTATCCACTTTACGTGTTACATTCTGTCCTTATGTTCATGAAATATACCTTTATTTGATATTGGTTGCAGTTTGAGCAAAATTTACTGCAATTTGGGATGCAAAGGAGTTTCCCTTCACAGGAGGTTGGCTGAGGAACTGAGAGATGCAAACCTAAGTCACAAGCTTTTAATGGACTGTTTTTAACATTTTCCCAATGACAGATGTTATGCTAACTAGCCTGAAGTTACATGAAATAAGAACACAAAATGCTGGAGAAATGCTGCAGGCCTGGCAGCATCTGTTGAGAAAGAAACAGAATTAACGTTTTGAGTCTGATTATATATTCTTCAGTAAACAAAAAAAGCCAAAAGAATTGCACATGCTGGAAATCAGAAATGAAGACAGAAATTGCTGAAAAATCTCAGTACGTCTATCACAGCATCAACAATCTCGAAAGCCTTTCCTTTCCAATACTAGGAAGCAACCCATTTGGCCAAGGGGACTTATCAATTTTGAGCCCTGTTCATTTCCCAGTACATCTTCTGTGGTGATAGTTATTGTATTATTTTCCTTTTCCCCCTTTTGCACCTTGATTATTTAGTACTTTTGGAATGCAATTAGTGTCTTTTATTGTGTAGACTGATACAAAGTATTTATTCATCTTTTGTGCTATTTCCTGGTTCCCCATTAGTATTTCCCCATCCTCATTACATAAGGGGCCTTTGTGTACTTTGACCTTTCTCTTTTTATATATTCAGTGAAGCTCTTGCTGTCTGATTTGATATTACTTGCAAGTTTGCCCTCAATAGTTTATTTCCTACCACTTTATTGTTTTTATTCATCTTTTATAAGTATCCAAAGCTTTTCCAGTCCTCTGGTTTACCACTAATCTTTGCCACATTATATGTTTTTCTTTCAATTTGATGCCTTCTTAACTTCCTTGGTAAATCAATGTTGTTTTATCCCCTTGCTAGAATTCTTCTTCCTCATTGGGACATATTGTTCTTGTGAGTCATGAATAATTTTCTCAAAGGTTTGTCATTGTTCATCAGTCATCTTTTCTGCTAAATCATTTCCTAGTCCATGCCAGCTAACTCTGTCCTCAATCCTTAGTAATTACCCTTATTCAAGTTTAACAGCTGTTTCTGATCCAAATTTTTCACACTCAAAACTGCATGCTAAATATTACCATGTTATGGTCACTGTTTCCTAGTCTATCTTTTACCTTGAGATTATTTATTAAACCTGCTTCATTACAAATTACCAGATCCAAAATAGATTTATAGAATCATACAGTATGGAAACAGACCTTTTGATCTAACTCAACTACACAGATCAGACATTCCAATCTGACCTAGTCCCATTTGCCAGCATTTGGCTCTAAACCCTTCCTGTTCATGTACCCATCCAGATGTATTTTAAATGTTGTAATTGTACCCACCTCCTCCACTTCCTCTGCTGGTGTTCCGTACATGCACTACCCTTGCATGAACAAGTTACCCCTCGGTTTCTTAAATATTTCCCCTCTCACCTTAAACCTATGCCCTCTAGTTTTGGACTTATCCACCATGGGTAAAAGACCTTGGCTATTCACCATATCTATGCCCCTCATGATCTTATAAACCTCTATAAGGTCACCCCTCAGCCTCCAAATCTCCAGGGAAAACAGTTCCAGCCTGTTCAGCGTCTCAGTCTAGCTCAAATCAGCCAGATTCCTGGTTGGATCAACAGCATAATGTTCTAATAAACTGTCCCAGATACATTCTATGAATTCTTCGTCATGGCTACCTCTGCCAATTTGATTTTCCCAATCTACATGAAGGTTAATGAAACCCATATTGATATACTGCCTTTTTTACATGCTCTCATTATCTCCTGGTTTATTATCTGTCCTTTGGTTTAGCTTTTTAAGGGATCCTGTAGACTACTACTGCCAGTCTCATCTTCCCCTTGTTATTTCCACCCATATTGATTGTGTATCATATTATTCAAGGTTATATCTTGCTAATGTACTTCCTCCATTTCGTTCTAGCAAAGCCACCCCACCATCCTTTCCTTCTCGTCTGTCCTTTCAATAAGTCACATAGCCTTGAATATTTACTTCCTAGCTTTGCTATCCTTGTGACCTCTTAATGGCTATAAGATCATACATATTAACCTCTACTTTTGCTGTTAATTCATTTATTTTGTTCCAAATACAATGTGCATGTAAGTAAAAAGCCACTTCCTTGCCTTGTTTATCATTTTTCTTTCCCCATTGATTCTACTTGCTACTGTTTTTCTATATTTGTACATTTTGTTCCTTCCTGTCCCACACTTGAGTAGTTTTGCCTAAATAGTCACCCTGTAATGTCATATCCTTTAGTTTTGTAAGTCCGTATTTCCCCTTTCCCAAATATTGCAACTGTCTCTGCCTCCAGTTAGTTTAAAGCACTCTCTACAGGTCTAGTTATTCAGTTCACCAGTACATTGGTCCCAGCACAGTTCAGTTGAACCCTGCCCAACCAGAGCAGCTGTCTTCTGCCTCAGTACTGGTGCTAGTATCCCATGTTCTGAAACCCAACAATCTTTCAGCCATGCATTTAAATTTGATTCCTTCATTTTATTTACACGATGCCAGTTTGCCTTTGGCTCACTCATATATCTGTGATATCATATTTCAGGCTAAACCAAAGATATATCTTTAAGTGATGAGTGTGAGAGAAATATGACTTGTTATTAGAGGTCCAGATATGTCCATCTTTAGATTTTCTGAAGTTATGCCCTGTCCAGCCAAGTCATTATTACTGATCTTAAGACTGAAATATACAATGCCTCAGCTGTCACAAAGGTGTTGGAGTATGATGTGAAATATTTTCCAATGTTCTACCTTCAGCACACGGCCATGGTGCAAAAGGAGCCAATGCATATGAGTTTCATCTTACATTCTTGGCACCAGTGAATCCTGAGGTATGTCACATTAATTGGTGCTCATTTTAACACTTTGATAGTGATTGCATTTCAGCAACATATCGAAAGAAAGTTGACTGTTTTCAATTGATCTTACTGTTACAGTAAGGAGTCCTTTAAAATTAATTGAAAATTATTCCCTCCCATTTGTAACCACAATGCCATTGTGTGAATGTAATCAGCTAGGGCGCCAGGGATTGCATTGCTCATCATTGATCTGTGGAGATCCAGCCCTAGCATGATCTTATAGTCATGAGATTTGTGGGTAAATTTTCTGAAACTATAGCTTTATTCACAATTACTGTTGTCTGCCATGTCACTGGCTATAGATAATTTTAATATGATTGTAATACAGGAATCAGTCAGTATGAAAATCAAGGTCAGCATTTGGGACAGTGTTAAAATATTGCTAATAATCTGCAGGCCTGATTGGTTCAGTGCTTGTTTTGGTATGCTAATAGGCTGTGGGTGTTGCTGGCAAGGCTGACATTTCTAGCTCAACCCTAGTTACTGAGGATGTTGAGTCATGATGTAGAATGGAATCATGTAAAAGCCAGTTTACGTAGAGATGGCAGACTCGTATCCTTTAAGGAAATTAATGAACCAGTTTGTTCGTTTTCTGTAATAATCAAGATGTTTTGGCAATTTGGTCTTAAAGAACCTCACAAATTAATAATTATTGGATATATAATGGTGACCGGTCAGTGTGAAACTTTCAAATGGTGTGAAGTTTAGGATGTGCTGTGGTGAGTCGGAAGCTACCTTGCCCTTGTGGTTTCTGTAAACAGTTTATCATTTCAGGGACAGATAAGTTCAGTATTGCTGTTCTAAATGTTGTTTGTTTTGCTTTTGTGTAAATGTATGAATTTCAATAAATATATCTTGTTTTAACTCAGTCAGTGATGTACGTAACCTTGTTAGTAGGAAATTTACAACAAAAATTATGTGTTCATAGCCGCAGTTTAAGGTCACAGAAAGACAAGTAAACATAACAGTGAAGAAAATGGAGAATAGATGGTGGCACAGGCTGACCAAACAAGAAAAGAAACCAATATTCTTGGCTCCTGATTTTGACCGCTGGATGGATGAATCTGATGCTGAAATGGAACTTCAAGCAAAGGTAAATTTTAGTGAGGAGGCTTTTTGTATGGCATCACATTTTGCTTCAGAATCAACTAGTTAGAGAACTTATATTAACCATTCACTTTCAAATGTGATTCTCATCTGCTGTACAAACCTGATTATATTATTAGCAAATAACTAATAAATTTGTTCCTCATACCCACAAGTGATTGAGGTGAAACTGGCAATAGTCGGGTGTAGTTTGGTGCAATGTTGTGGGCCAATACGAAGGACAATTTTACTCTGTATCTAAGTCAGATAGTATATCACCAAGGAATTGTAGATGTTAACACTGACAATCAATATTCATAAATATCTGGAAAAAACATTAAAATCCTTGAAGTGCCAGATATACAGTGAAAATCTGATTATCTAATGTAGTCAAGGCTACAAGATGTGAGGTCCAGAGTAAGCCATCCAGCCTATCGAGTGCACGCTGCTATTCAATGAGATCAAGGCTGATCTGATAATCTCCTACGCCCATAAACCCTTGATTACCTTACTGATTAAAAAGTGTCTGTCTCAGCCTTGAAGATACTTAAGAACTCAGCTTCTACAGGCCTCTGCTGTAAAGAATTCTATAGCATTACCACCCTCTGACAGTCAAAAAAAAACCTCTTCATCTCCGTCTTACTTTGAGATTATGGCCTCTAGGGAAACAACCACTCTATATCCGACCTGTCAAGCACTCTAAGAATCTTGTATGTTTCAATTGGTTGCCTCTCATTCTCCTAAACTTTGCTGAGTACAAGCTCAACTTACTCAACCTTCTGTCATAAGAAAATCCCACCATACCCAGGATCAACCTAGTGAACCTTCTCTGGATTCCCCCCAGTCACAGTATATGTTTGCTTGGATAACTGGATCAAAACTGTTCACAGTATTCCAGCTGCGGTCTGACCAGTGCCTTGTATAATTTCAGTAAGACCTCCCCATTTTTATACTCCATTCATTCCCTTTGTTTCAAAGGACAACATTCCATTTAGCTTCCCTTCAACTTGGCTGCTAGTGTTTTTGTGATTCATGCACAAGGACCTCAAATCTCTCTATTCTGCAGTTTTCTGACATATTGTTCTGCCTTGAAACCAAGAATATGTTAAGTAAATAGTTGCCCTAAGACTTAATTAATAGGTAACCTATGTAGTGTATGCTTGTGTCAGTGTCTGACCAAATGTAATGACCACCAAAGATGCTGGAAATATTCAGCAGGTCAGGCAATGTCCCTAGAAGGAAACAAAGTTTAATGTTTCAGGTCAAGGCAACCATTCATAAATAAAGACAAATCGTGCTGGAGGAGTTTTTAAGCCAATAGAAGGGGTAAAGAGGGCAGAAAGAACAAAAGTAAAGCTCTATGATAAGGGGAATGACAGGAGAAATTAAATTACAAAAGATTTCATGTTTTGTTTCATGAGTAGCTAACCTTCTGTCCACCATCTATGGGGAGTCAGGAGTGTGAAGGAATACTCCCCACTTGCCTGGATGACTGCAGGTTCAACAATACTTGAGCTTGACACCATTCTGGACAATGCAGCCCGCTTGATTGGCATCACATCCACAAACATTCAGTCCCTTCATCATGCTCAGTGGTAGCAGTATGTACCATCTACATGATATACTGCAGAAATTTACTAAGGCTTCTTAGACAGAACCTTTTCAAATCCACAACCACTATAATCAGGACAGACAAACCCATAATTACTGCCATCTTGAAGGACAAGGACATAAGATACATGGGAATTACCATCATCTGCAGGTACCCCTCTAAGCCTCTGACTTGGAAATACATTGCCGTTCCTTCAGTGTTGCTGAGTCAGATTCCTGGGACTTGCTCCACAACAGTTCTCTGGGACCACCTACATCAATAATGGATTGCACTGGTTCAAGAAGGTAACTCACTGTGACCTTCTTAAGGAATTAGGGATCTCCAATAAATACTGGCCGAGGCAGTGATGCCCACATCCCGTGAATTAATGTAAAATAAAGAAAAAGCCAAAGTGTGGTAATGGTAAAGAAATGAATTTTGTGTCCAGATGAAATGTGAATCTACCTGAATGAAACATGAAGAGAAATAAGCAAACCAGACAACGCACTAAAACAATAAATGGAGAAACACAAAACACATATCAAACAAGAATCAGGCAGAGGTTATCATATAAGTTATTGAACATGGTGGTGAGTTGAAAGATAAGGTGTTGTTTCTCAAGCTTGTGGTGGACTTCAGTGGAACACTGCAGCAGGTCTTGAACAGATAAGGCAGTGGAGAATTACATTTACAAATCAAGAAAAGCTCAGGATCATGCTTGCGAATTGAGCAGAGGCGTTCTGTAAAGCAGTTCGAGTTTAGGCTCCATCCCAGTGTGGAGGAGATCATATCACAAACAGTGACTGAAAGTATTGAAAGTTTTTAATTCAATTAAAGGGAGTTTAAAAAAAAACTTGGGAAATAAAAGGAACTGCAGAGGCTGGAAATCTGAAAACAAAATCAGAATCCGAGACTCTCAGGTCTGGTGGCATCTGTGGACAGAAAGCAGAATTAATGTTTCAGGTCCAGTGATCCTTCCTCAGAACTGATGGTAGCTAGGAAAATGTATATATACTGAAGACAGAGAATGAGGTAGATGGGTGGGAAAGGAGTAAATGAGAGGTGGAGACAAAGAACAACAGTTAAGTAGACAAAGGGTTGTAGGTATCTTGGAGCTGCCGCAGCTTGCGTTCCTTAATGTGTGAAAGGCAAAGAAAAGAACATAAGAACTAGGAGCAGGAGTAGGCCGTCCGGCCCTTCAAGCCTGCTCCGCCATTCAATAAGATCATGGCTGATCTTTTCGTGGACTTAGATCCACTTACCCGCGTTCTCACCGTATCCCTTAATTCCTTTATTGTTAAAAAAAAATCTACCTTATCTTTAAAAATGTTTACTGAAGTAGCGTCAACTACTTCACTGGGCAAGGAATTCCACAGATTAACAACCCTCTGGGTGAAGAAGTTCCTTCTCAATTCAGTCCTAAATCTGCTCCCTCTAATCTTGAGGCTATGCCCTCTTGACCTAGCTTTACCTACCAGTGGAAACATCCCCTCTACTTCTATCTTATCTATTCCCTTCATAATTTTATATGTTTCTATAAGATCCCCCCTCAATCTTCTGAATTCCAATGAATATAACCCCAATCTACTCAGTCTCTCCTCATAAGCCAACCCCCTCAACTCCGGAATCAACCTAGTGAACCTCCTTTGCACCCCCTCAAGTGCCAGTACATCCTTTCTCAAGTAAGGAGACCAAAACTGCACACAGTACTCCAGGTGTGGCCTCACCAGCACCTTGTACAGCTGCAACATAACCTCTCTGCTTTTAATCTCAATCCCTTTAGCAATGAAGGACAAAATTCCATTTGCCTTCTTAATTACTTGTTGTACCTGCAGACCTACCTTCTGTGATTCATGCACAAGGACACCCAGGTCCCTCTGCATAGCAGCATGCTGCAACTTTTTACCATTCAAGTAATAATCCTTTTTACTATTACTCCTACCAAAATGTATGACTTCACATTTATTTACATTGTATTCCATCCACCAGACCTTTGCCCACTCACTCAATGTATCTATGTTCCTTTGCAAAGTTTCACAGTCCTCTGCGCACTTTGCTCTGCCACTCATCTTAGTGTCATCTGCAAACTTTGACACCCTACACGTGGTCCCCAACTCCAAGTCATCTATATAAATTGTAAATAATTGCGGTCCCAACACCGATGCCTGAGGCACACCACTAGTCACTGACTGCTAGCTAGAATAGCACTCATTTATCCCCACCCTTTGCTTCCTGTTAGTCAACCATTCCTCTATCCATGCTAATACTTTACCCTTAACGCCATGCATCCTTATCTTATGCAGTAGCCTCTTGTGCGGCATCTTGTCGAAGGCCTCTTGGAAATCTAGGTACACCACATCCACTGGGTCCCCATTGTCCGCCTTGCTCGTAATGTCTTCATAGAATTCCAAAAGATTTGTCAAGCGTGACCTGCCCTTCATGAACCCATGCTGCGTCTGCCCAATGGGACAATTTCTATCAAGATGCCTTGCTATTTCTTCCTTGATAATAGACTCAAGCATCTTCCCCACTACATAGGTTAAGCTAACCGGTCTATAATTCCCCATCCTTTGTCTACTTCCCTTTTTAAACAGTGGCGTCACATTTGCTGTTTTCCAATCTGCTGGGACTGCCCCAGAGTCCAGCGAATTTTGGAAAATTACCACCAGTGCACCTGCTATTTCTTCCGCCATCTCTTTTAGTACCCTGGGATGCATTCCATCAGGGCCAGGAGACTTATCAATCCTTAGCTCCATTAGCTTGCCCAACACTACCTCTTCCGTAATTATGATTGTTTCCAGGTCCTCACCTACCTTCGTCTCTTTGTCAATTACTGGCATGTTATTAGTGTCTTCCACTGTGAAGACTGATACAAAATACCTGTTCAGTGCCTCAGCCATTTCATCATATCCCATAACTAAATTCCCCTTCTCATCCTCTAAAGGGCCAACGTTTACTTTAGCCACTCTTTTTCGTTTTATATATTATAGAAACTTTTGCTATCTGTCTTTATATTCTGTGCTAGTTTTTTCTCATGTTCTATCTTACTTTTCTTTATAGCTCTTTTTGTGGCTTTCTGTTGACTTTAAAGTTTTCCCAATCTTCTAGCTTCATGCTGTTTTTGGCCACTTTGTATGCCTTCTCTTTCAATTTGATAGCCTCCCTTATTTCTTTAGACACCCATGGCAGATTACCCCATTTCTTACAGTCCTTCCTTTTCATTGGAATATACTTCTGCTGAGCACTTTGAAAAATTGCTTTGAAAGTCCTCCACTGCTCGTCAACTGTCCCACCATAAAATCTTTGTTTCCAGTCTACTTTAGCCAAGTCCTCCCTCATTCTATTGTAGTTCCCCTTGTTCAAGCACAGGACCCTGGTATTGGATTTTATCTTCACACTCTCCATCTGTATTCTAAATTCAACCATACTGTGATCACTCCTTCCAAGAGGATCCCGAACTATGAGGTCATTAATTATTCCTGTCTCATTACACAAGACCAGATCTAGGATAGCTTGCTCCCTCGTTGGTTCCATTACATACTGTTCAAGGTTTCTTGTTAGAATGTCAAATGAGCGGAGAATGAAGTGAAACTGGGGGGTAGTGCAGCTCAAACATCATGAGGTGATGCTGATGGAGAAAGAGAGGTTTCAAGTGTGTGTATGGTATACTTAGAGTGGATGTCAAGATGTGGTGAGAACAGCTATCTGTGGAACATTGTACATTATGGAGGTATCTGTAATCCTGGGTGGATTTGAAACACAAAGGATGAAATTTCAGTTGGAATCCACATGTAGTAAGTCTAAGCTGGAGGCAGTCACTGAGTAGTGTGATGTGGCTGTGGAAGACACACCTCCTTCCATGTCCTTTACCCACCCAACACCCCTGGCCCTGTCATGACATGGGCTGCTTTCCTCAGAGCCAACCCATCATCACTTAATTATGTTCCCTATTATCGGTGTTTCTTTCTCCCCGGTTCACCATTATCTATCCTTTTGTCTGCAGCATATGTATCACCTTTTCCTAGCTGCCATCAGTTCTGAAGAAGGGTAACTGAACCTGAAGTAGCACCCCCCCCAAAAAGTAGAGTGGGCCTTGCACTTAAAAAAGCTTCACCCACCATTTCAAATTAATTGTGGTTAATAATATCTCGTTTCCTTATTCCTTGTTTCATCTTGCTTTAAAAGAGAAATATTGCTAACCTCAGTGGTTACTTGTTTTGGAAGTACGTTGAGTGAGGAGATAATTAAAGTAACACTGAAATTAGTGATTTTAATCATCTTGCTTGTACATGCTCTGCCACACCTCTGGGCCAGGTAGGAGTTGAACCCTGAACTGACCACCCAGATGGTCCTGAACTGAAATTATATAATGGCTTCAGCTGATTGAATATTGTTAGGAAGTATATTCAGTGGTCCTGCTATAAGCACTGAAGTTCCCAGTACTGAGTTTTTTAATAAGTAGCACAGTATTTGATTTTCACCTCCCTTTTGTAGGAGGTGACTAACTTCAAAGCAAACCCTTCACATTTGGCTGCCTTGTTAACTTCTCCAGGTGGTCATTCTTACTGTGGACAGTGAATGTTAGTAGGCTGTTTGACTGTTGGGTGTGTCAACACCTTGTGTTTAAGCACACATTGTGATCAGCAACAGTAAGGACTATTATAACATCCTGTTAGTTTATAGTTGACATTCTCTGACAGCATAGGTCAAACATCAAACCTGGAGCTACCTAGTCTCTGTAGCTTTGCACTAAAATTACTACAAATATTTTAAATATTTTCAAAAATACGGATTATCTTTATTCCATGGCACTGATTCTGTTAAGTTGCATGAGAACAATTTGTGAGGTTCCACAAATATCACTCTTTACACACTGATTATTTCATAGACATCTCTCCAACTTCTATCTTCTAAGCGTTTTAGTGAATAAGCAGGAGTTGTATCTTGTAATAAGGTGGAGGATTTTCAGGGACTATAACTAAAGTAATTGTGTCCTTTCTGTGCTTCATTGGTAGGAAGAAGAGAGAGAAATTAATAGAATGAGTTTGGAGTCAAGAGTTCGGAAGAACTGTAAGTGCAATATGCTGTCGTGATTATGACTTGCTCACATGTTGCTGAATGAATTGTCTGGATTACACTGTAATGCTAGGACATTGAATAAAACTGCAGACCCTGACAAGTCTTATAAATGAGCAACTTGGAAATTCTGTGAATATCAAAGAGCTTCACTGTCAGATCCATTATGCAACATGTTCACAAACCATTTTATTATTTTCTGTGACAACAAGGTGCAGGGCTGGATGAACACAGCAGGCCAAGCAGCATCATAGGAGCAGAGAGGCTGACGTTTCGGGCCTAGACCCTTCATCAGAAAAGGGGGAGGGGAAGGGGGTTTGAAATAAATAGGGAGAGAGTGGGAGGCGGATAGAAGAGGGATAGAGGAGAGGATAGGTGGAGGCTCTTGTTCATCCAGCCCTGCACCTTGTTGTCTCGGATTCTCCAGCATCTGCAGTTCCTACTATCTCTTATTATTTTCTGTATTTATTTTCCTGTTGGTAGCAATATCAGTAGTAACATGTCGCTGTTTTAAGTGGGATGGTTGGGTGAGGCACTAGGATAGGTGGAGACCTGAGGTCTAACCAGTGAATTATAAAGATTTACCCAACTTCCTTGTGTACAAGTTAAATTAACTTAATTAAAACAGTGATAACAAAGTGTGAAGCTGGATGCTGCCTGCTGCTGTGTTCCTCCAGCTCCACACTATGTTATCTGTCTCCAGCATCTGCAGTTCTTGCTATCTCTTAATTAAACAGTGTTGCTTGTGTTATAATTGTATCGTTTACAGAGAAAATTTACAAGTAACTGCATATTTTTAACTAGCTACTCTTTCCAAGCTGAGGGAGTTGTTTCCTGGTCAGTAAAGGCTTTTTTTATGCAATATGTGACCAGCTTATTCTCTTTACCTTTCACTTCGCTTGTCCTGGGTGAGATGGAGGAAAATGGGACTGGTTTAGTGAAAGAATTGCAACTAATGGTTATCAATTACAGCAAATTTTTTATTAACTGGTATCTATGGGACCAGGAGTATGCCGATTGATTTTGCAGACCTCTTGATCAATGTAAAAACACACACTAAGAATAGAAATGTAATGCAGGGGGTATATACATCACAGTTATACTTCACTTATAGCATAAATTGCTTAAATAATAATGCAGTTTTGCCTTAAATAGAACTTACTGGCTGAGAGTGTTCTGACTCGCACCCTCAGCAGACCAGTCAGACAGTGCAGAGTTTGCAATAATATAGTAAACTTTGCGGTATTTGAATTATATATTTTTGCTGGTTTACTAGGTGCCTGTCAAAACAAAGTTTGCAGTATTCTAAAAATTCCTTTAAATTTGTTTCAGTGGGATCATGCAATTACAACTGAAGTGATAGCATTTGGGCTTCATTACATTTTCAACATAATTACAGTATTGCGTTTTATGTGCCTAGTGTTTATGTCTTGGTGACATACCTTTGTGCCTACAATTCCATACATGCTGATCCAAATGTCTTCAATGGCAGATCTGCTTGCATGAAGCAAAATTATGAGCATGAATAACCCTAGAACAACTTTTGAAAATGACCTGCAACACAGAATTTCATGTACAGGGAGCAGGGTAACTGCCTGCCATCTTGGAATGATATGTGGTTCAGAAGGACAGGTGAAAAAACAACCTTCTAAAAGAGAGGGAGGAAGTAGAAGTGATGAGTTAGGTGAAAATTGCAAAAATGCTTTGTACTATACAAACAGACCACATTCTTAAATCTAGTTTGTCCATTCTAGTTTGTCCAAAGTGATTAAACTGCAATTGTGACCAGGCTCGTTTTCCACTTTGTATAGTGTAGCATGACCACCTTGCAGACCAAGTTCAAGCAAAGTGGCCAGAGACACCACTTCTATTTAAGCTTTATCTCTCTCACTCACTGGTTTATCCTGACCATATTTTGTAGACCAAGAGATTTGAGAAAGCTTGTCTTTAACACTTGTGCACATTTTATATTTAATGTTCTTAACTGTGGTCATTAAAATATTCACAGTATGGAATATTAGCAGTATTAATTTTTTACTTCATGCCCAACAGCTTATGTCACCATGAAGAAAGGTTACTTATTTATGTACAACCTGGTGCAGTTTTTGGGTTTTTCATGGATCTTTGTTAATATGACAGTTCGACTGTTTGTGTTCGGTCGAGGTGAGTGATTTTAAGCAGTTTTAATATCATGTGATATTTCGTGTTAGCAGCTTGCCTCTATTACTGTGGAATCCTTTTAGTCATGAATTTTCTTTTGCTGTTAGGGGACTGTTAATTGTTAGATCAATTACTCGGGATTGAGAATTTATCCGTTTGTGATTGTGAACCTGATTCAAATCTGCCACCACGTAGTTATACAAAGCTTTCCACCTGACTGCTATAACAAATAAACTTGGATGTGGGTTTGAACATTTGAACATTTTATTTAAAAGCAAAACATGAAATTTGCAAAGGCAAAATCTACACAATTTATGTAGTTTCTCAGAATCTCGAACTAGCTGGACTGTCTGCTTCACACTGCTGTATTGAGTGGGGCAGAATGATCCTTTGTGCTCAGTGCCATGAAAAACTGTTCAGAGATTGGAAATAAAAGGTTTTCTTTATTGCTGACCAGTTTACCCATTCTTGGAATAGTTTTTAAATGCGCTGATCTTAAATTGCTGAGTTCTGAACTGCACCTAGTCCTTGTGTTTTGACACTGTAGAAAGATTCTTTAGAGATGACCTTGAGTAACAAAGTATAATTAACTTAAAGTATCAGTATGCATATAGAAGCAGATCAAACCAAGATTTAATAGGCCTCTCGGCAGTCACTTGTAACAAACAGTTATCCTTTACCTGCTACCAGCACAGGATCCAAATAACCAATTGTCAAATGTTTTTTCACATCTTTAAATTTTGTTCAGTAACTTTAATATAGCAAATATTAGGACAAATCTTTAACCAGAGTTGGAGAGGTTATATACATGCTGAAGTATCTGTGAAACTTGAATGCTAAATGTTAGAAGCAAGATAATTTGGAAATGTTGATGGGTCAGTTCTTGAAGGTTGCCATAACTAAATTCTTCAAGGGGTGTGGTGCATTTAATTCATCAGAATCCTGGCTGAAATCTTGAGCTGCTAATCCCAGAATACCCATCACTTGACCGGCTGTTCTAGTGACAGTAGAGGTGCAATTGGTTCAGTTCATCTTCTGACTGCTGTTGATTTCTGGGTGTTGATGATACAATCTGGTCCTGATGGAAGGGAACAGCTAAAGTGAAAGCACTCCACAATACTGACTTTTGTGACTTTGTTGCAAATAGCACATTTTTGTACTCTGTCTCTCTTTCACCATCACACAAATGAAGTACATCACTATACTCCCCAACCCAATCCCACCTCACTACCTCTGAACCTTCTGGAAATTCTGTGGTATATGGAATGAGTTTGGCTGAATTTGTTTTTACTTTTGAACTTGGCAGGCGGTTAACCTGCAGTATATGTGTGTTCAATCTGCAGTTAGGAAAACTGGCTTTACAGATGCCCTTGCTAATGATTATATTTGTGTTGTTTTTGCAGACTCTTTGTTTGATACTTTCCACGCAGTTGGTGATGTGATGAACCTTTGCCAGCTATTTGCAATATTGGAGGTTATAAACCCATTGCTAAATTTGGTGAAAACAGGATTGGTGCCAGCAGTGATCCAGGTACAGTGCTACTCTCAGGCCAAGGCAGGTTTGAGTAGGAAGGAAGGTCAAGGCAACTCAAATCACATTCCTTTCTGGCCAGGCTTTTGTTCTTCTGGCATCAGACTGTGTCATTGCCTGTGGATTCTATTTTCCCTCCTCAACTAGAGAAATATGTTTACAATACACTTTCAAAGAGATGAGCTACTTTTCTATGGATCAGCAGTTTCTGTTTCTTCAATGATCCTCTGGCATTTATGATGTGGATATAATTGTTTCAACAGGTAATTGGGAGGAATATGATTCTGTTTGTGGTGATTGGAAGTCAGGTGGAAATGCAGAATAAAGCAGCAGTGTTCGTAGTTTTTTACCTATGGAGCATCATCGAAATGTTCCGGTTTGTATTTCACTCTTTCTTGAGCTCAGTTTTCAGTGTGATCATGGCATAAAGAACTTGATCCAGAGATCATTCAGTGACATCTTTACACAAAACACTAAGTTAGTAGATGCTGAGAGGATTTTGAGCAAAAGTTCAGGCCACTAATTCAGTCGGATTAATTAAACTAAACAAAAAATTTAAATGTCATTAGAATTCATGCAACGAATCATTGAATCCCTGCAGCATGGAAGGACGTTATTCAGCCCATCAGGTACACACCAACCCTCTGAAGAGCATCCCACTGTAACCTATCTATCTCTGTAACCCCACATTTCCCATGGTTAACCCACTCTAGCATGCACATCCCTGGATAGTATGGGCAATGTAGCAAGGCCAGTCCATAAAAGCTGCACATCTTTGGACTGCGGGAGGAAACCGGAGCACTCAGAAGAAACCCATGCAGAGACTGGAAAGGTGTGCAAACTCCACAGACAGTTGCCCGAGGGTGAAATTGAACCTGGGTCTGTGGCACTGTGAGGCAGCAGTGCTAAACACATAGCAACTGCATGGGCAGCATGGTGGCTATTATGGAATTAGAGATATCATAGCACATGACACCCTTCAGCCCATTTTTGCCTGTGCCATCTATTCTGCTGGAGTTTTGTATTCTAATCCTATTCCCAGAGTCCTTTTTATAATCTTCCTTTCAAAATGCAATCAATTCATTAATAAATTATTGTCATAGCCAGACCCTCTGTGGCCACTTCTGGTAAAGCATCTCAGTTTAATCAGTTATTAAAATGTGTTTGAGACCAGCCTCTTCTTACTGAAGTGTGTTGTGATAATTCAATGTCACCCTTTCCTCCCTCTCTTCTGTCCATCTCCCATATTAACTTTGGTTAGGGACTTCAAATAGAAGCTAAGGTGAAATACTACATTCTGACTGAATAAACTCTAAGTAACATGTCTCAGAGTGGTTTAACCTGTTGGACCAGGAGTGATCAAATATTCCGGATAATCAAGAGGGACTCCTAATCACAGTAAACCCTGACTGAATGAAACTTCGAAAAATCAACATCCCTCAAAAATCTATGTAAACACATCAACACATCTCCCAAAACCAATGTAAAAATATGCAGTAAGTAGTAGATAACACAGTATGGAGCTGGAAGAACCGAAACGTCAACTTTCCTGCTCTCTGATGCTGCCTGGTCTGCTGTGTTCTTCCAGCTCCACACTTTGTTATCTCTGACTCCAGCATCTGCAGTTCTTGCTATCTCTCAGTAAGTAGTAGAAATGTCATGTAGGGGGTATACACATTACTGTTTACAGCAAAATACTCTGCCATTGCCATGGGTAGCAGTATTTGAGGTATTTTCATTTTTGCTGGTTTATCAAGAATGCTGGTTAAAACAAAGTTTGCTGTAAATTACTTTTTGCACCACAGTAATTGTTATGTGAATCAAACTGATAGTTAGCCACCTCTAGGATATTTAGACCATGTAGTCTCTTTCTTAATGAGTGATTCTCAGAGTATTAAACTGAGTTTGGATACAAACTAAAGTGATGAAAATTTTGATATGTTTCGACCTTTTATTGCAAACTGCTGCTACCTTTTACTTTGTTGAAGCTGCATAGTCTAGATAAGCAACCTTTCAGACATGTTAGGGCACACTTCTGGAACATATGGAACTTCGAACAAAGACTTTTGGCCCAGACGCAGGGACACTCCCATTGTACCTCGAGCCTTCCCAGTTGCATAGTCACGGCTAACTCACTGTACTAATAATGTTCCTGTCAACCCTTAAGCATACATCCTAAGTGACAGCATTAATGCTTCACCATCATCTTTAATTTCTTCCCTTGGCATGTGCAGTCCACAGTGAGGAAAAGAGCTCATCAGGTTCAGCTGTTGTCAAAGGACCAGTGTTTGTCTCATACCTCTGGGTAACGGGTGGAACTAAAAATAGGACATGTTTCACTTATTGAAGGAACTGTGTTTACCTTTGAAATAGTATGTGTCTGTATTGCGCATGGCTTGAGTTCTCCACTGTATTAATGGTATCTAGTATATTGAAGGAATGTATGTAAAATATTGTTTTGTTACTGAAATAGATACCCATACTACATGCTGTCCTGTATAGACACAGAGTGGAGATTGCTGACGTGGATCCGATATACCATTTGGATTCCTCTTTATCCACTTGGAGTCATTGCTGAAGGTATGTTAAAGAAACTTGTATACTTTAAACTACTGTCGAATTATGAAACTGCTAAGAATAAGAGTTCACACAGACATATGCTTCTTTGGGAGGAATGTGAAGTTGTTTATCTCTCAGAATTTCTCTGTATATAGCAGACATTGCTTCTCTGAAACTTTGTATGTGTATTAACTACAATTGTCTCATTCCTCTCCTTCATAGCGGTGTGTGTGATTCAGTCTATACCATACTTTGATGAAACAGGAAGATTTAGTATCTTGCTGCCCAACCCATTCAACATCTCATTCAGCTTCTCCTACTTCCTGCGAGGTTACCTTATTGCTCTGTTCTTGGGTGAGTTTCAGTCTCTGACGCAGTCTGATCTAATTTTTCCTTATTATCAGCACAAGTCATATACTAATATAAAAGTTGAAGTTTGTTAGTTATGTATAGGGCTTAATTTTTAAACAGGATCTGGTCGCGACCAATATTTCAGAGGGGGAGGTGGGGCATATCTGTCTAGGTGCATTGTCTTTCAGCACTGGAGTTTTTTAAAAAATTCATTCATGGGATGTCGGCATTGTTGGTTGACCGGTATTTATTGCCTATTCTTAGTTGCCCTTGAGAAGGTGGTGGTGAGCTATGTTCTTGAACCAGTGCAGTCCACGTGCTGCAAGCTGACTCACGTGGAGTGAATTGAATTGGCTGAAGACTGGTACTTGTAATGCTGGGAACCACTACAGGAGGCCGAGATGGGTCATCCACTCGGCATTTCTGGCTGAAGATTGCTGCAAGGGCTTTAGCCTCATCTTTCGCACTGTTCTCAATTTTGGGTTCTGTCAGGATCAATTGACTCCTGACCTCGTTACAGCCTTGGGTCAAACATGGAAAAAGAAGCTGAATTCCCAGAGGTGAGGAGACAGTGGTTGCACTTGACCAAGTGTGGCATCAAGGACCCTTAGTAAAACTAGAGTTAATGGGAATTGGGAAAACCCGTGCTGGTTAGGGTCATACCTAACAGAGGGGAAAGTGGTTGGAGTCATATCGGCTCTAGGACACCTGTGCAGGAGTTCCTCAGAGCAGTGTCCTAAACCCAGCAATCTTTAGCTGCTTCATCAATTACCTTTCCTTCATCATATGGTCAGAATGCAGATATTTACTGATGGTTCCATAATATTCACCTACTGGTCAGTCCATGTCCAAAAGCAGCAAGACAATGTCCAGGTTTGCGCTCACAAAGGGCAAGTAACATTTCTGCCAAATAAGTGCTAAGCAATTATCATATTCAACAAGCTAACAATCGCTCTTTGATTGAATCCCTCACTGTTAACATTCTGAGGCTACCATGACCAGAAACTAAATTGATCTAACTGCATGAGTACAGTAGTTTCAAGAGCAGGTCCGAGGCTAGGAATCAGAGTGTGAGTAATTCACTTCCTGATTCCCCAAAGCCTGTCCATCATCCACATGGCACAAGTCAGAAGTGTGATGGAATACTCCCCACTTGCCTGGATTAGTGCAGCTCCAACTACACTCGACAAGTTTAACACCTTCCAGGACAAAATAGCTTACTTGCTTGGCACTACGTCCACAAACATGCAGTCCCTCCAACACCAACTCACATCAGCATGTGTACCATTTACGAGATGCACTGCAGAAATTCACCAAGGCTGTTTAGGCACTGCCTTCTAAACCCGTGACCACTTCCATCTAGAAGGGCAAGGGCAGTGTATTCATGGGAACACCACCGCCTTCATATTCCTCTCTAAGCCGTTCATCATCCTGATTTGGAAATATATCACCTCTCCTCAATAATACTGGGTTAAAATCCTGGAAATACCTCCCTGACAGCATTGTGGGTATCCCTACACCAAATGGACTGCAGCAGTTCAAAAAGATTGCTCACCACCATCACCACCTCAAGGGCAATGAGGGATGGGAAATGAATGTTGATCCAGCCAGCAATGCCCAGATCCCATTAAAATAACAACAAAATGCAGCATAGGACTCTAGGGAGGAAACTTTTAGAATAACACGTAAGACAAAATATGTATTTGAGAGGGAATGGTGAATAGCTGAGAGTGATTGAGGAAAAAATGTCAAGAGTTTGAAGTCCTGGATGACATTAGCCCTTGGTTACTCCAATGGGTTTTTTTTAAAATCATGTGGAGGTTATTCTGCTGCCTTTTGGTGAAAGCACAAATGAAAAGGGACTTAGCTGGGTAAAGATAGTTTGTTTCCCCTGAATGGTACAGCCTGACTAGATAACTGAGTGTGAGATTTTTTTCTCTAGGTTTGTTCTTTAATTTCCGACATCTCTACAAACAAAGTAACAAGCATCTCCGCCCAAAAAAACGAAAGCTGCACTAGAAAGGATGTGTGTTTCTGAGTTGGAGCATCACCTTTAATATTTTAATTAAATGTAAACTTGCTGCCTTTATAAACCTCCTACTTTCCTGGAGGTGAGAAAAGCCATGGTGAAATGTCAATACGTCTTCAGTAACCTGTTTCCCCCCCTCATACCAGATGCAACCTTTGCAGGTATCACCTATTGCACCTGATCATTTCCAATCTATTGCCAGCGTGAGAAGTATTTTGCAATAACCAAACACATTCCTTAATACTAAGGGAAATATTCACTTTGTCCAGTTATATTGCACCCTTGGTAAAAGTATATTTTTTCCAACTGCAGCAGAATAATTTTATAAATTAAAATTGGTTTTGTATTGTGATGCAATTTTGATTTGTCTAAGATGACTGTGCAAAAAAAGAGGTCTTAGCCGTTAGTGGGCATTATTAGACAGATTAATGCGTTGCTGTGTCTCAGTCTTTCTAGAATTAGGAAAGTTAATTTTAAATTAGCTGCTTTAATCTCTGTTCTTGCCACCACTCTCCATTGTGTATTATTCAGTGTGACAGTAGGAGCCATGTTTCACTGCTCTGTTTCCTTATAACCAGAACCAAGGTGGTTGGGGGAGGATTCCATTCCATTAGAAAAGCAATACAGACTCAGGTGATTTCCTTGGTGCAAAGTTACTCTGCTACTGAACTATTTGTAGTCATGCTCATGAATATTAACTTCACAAAGGGTGGTTCATTTCATACTAAAAACACGAGGATGGGTGCATTAACGTTAGTTAGGAAGCTTAAATCAGTGTGCGAGACATAACCATTAAAAATGGCGAGAGAGAAAGCTGGGTTGCATCAAGTCTCTTCTTTGAAAGATTGGATCTTTGCTCATCATTCACATTGCCACCACTTAAAACACATGCAAGCTGATGATTTTCTCCCTTGTTATTTTGTTTGTTAATCAAGACAAATGCAATGCATTTAGAACTGTAACCAAATGGTTTAGATCAAAATATTTTGTGAAAAGTTTGAAAGTGTATTGACATGCGCAAATTTTTTTGAGGAACGGTTAGAGATGGAGAACTGCTGTTATCATCAGAAAGGATTTACTGCAATTTGAATAGTGTGAACATAGTGAAAACTAGTGATCAAAATTTTATCTCATGAGGTTTCATGCAAGGAGATTCGGCTGCTACATCTTTTGTGTGTCCAAGTGTCCCTTCTTAGTGAGTTATTGTTGTTCAACTTTTATATATTGTAAATCCTGTGCCACTGAAGGTGAATTGAAACGTGATAAGACTTTCATAGTTCCTTGGTTGAGGTGACTTTTTGGTTTGTGGATTATGTTGACCATAATGTTGTAATGATCAGACAACTTCAACAGATTCTGATGTCAAAGATGATCCGTGGTTTGTAATGAATGAATAAGCTAAACTGTTCTTATCATGTGAAGTTTGAGAGTTTTAACCAAAGTCTGAAGGATCACAAACTGTAATTTCAACCATTTCTCCAAGATCTTGGAAAATTAGTAGCCTTGTTTATCAATTTAAGTTTTTGTCACATGGTCACAGGTGAAGTTTTCTGTCTTCACATTTTTATTATTTAAACATAGAGGTGGTGAGGATGAGATGGACTGTGACCTATCATTACTGTGTGCTATCTGGGAGAAGCAAGACCTTTGGTTACACTGCAACATTTGACTTGTTGGCTACAATGAGCTAATGTGTGCTGACCATTTGCAGTGGATTGTCAGAAAAAACACTGATCAATAAAATACGCAGACAATAACAACAGATTACCACACATGTTTTCAAGGTAATATGTGATCTGGGGTTTCAGTAACGGTTGGTGTCAGATTCATTATGGAAAATATCCAAGGAAACCATTTAGCCCACTGAATCTATGCTGACTCTCTGTAGAGCAATCCAATTAGTCCCACTCCCTTGCTTTATCCCTGTAGCTCTGCAAGTGTATTTCCCTCGAGGGCCAATTAATTTCTTTTACCAATCAGTGTCAATTTCCAACATTTTACATTGGCAGCAAGTTTCAGCCACTACTGCACACTGCATTTTAAAACAAAAATCTTGCCAAAACTTTGTATCATAAATAAAGGGGTATAGCTTTTCTTTGTGTACTTTACCTAAAGCTGTCATAATCTCCCATTGATCTTGTTTGCTGTAAGGCAACCATCTCAGTTTCTCCAACCTAACCTTTGTAGTCCTTCACTCCCAGAACCTTTCTGGCAAATATCTACTTCTTCAGAACCATACATTTCTGAAATATTCCTGTCTAAACCCTTATACTTGATAAATCCAATCTCTCAATACATCCTGTCAACTTCAAACACACTTTAGAACTGGCCAGTAAATCAGTATTGCCCCTCTCTCTCTTGCCAAAGTGTATCACCACCTATTTCTCTACATGCAAATTCTGCTAGCCTGTCTATACCAATTTGCATTTGATAAGTGTCAACTTCCTATTTCCCATGCCTTCAAATTTAGGATCATCAGCAAATTTTGGAATTGAACTCAGTTTTGCAATCTCCAAGTCATATTTATATGCACAAAACAAAAGCAAAGAGATCCTAGCCCTGACTTCTGGGCAACACCACTGTTTGTCATCCTCCTGTCTGAAAAGCGACCATTTACAACATACTGTTCTGTCCTTAAGACAACTTTTTATCCAGTGTTTTCCCTCCTATTCCATAAGCCTGAGTTTTATTAATAATATACAATGGTGCAATGGTTTAATGGTGTACAATGAAACTTAAATGTGTACTTTGATTCTGTTATTGAATTACCTGAATTGAACTGCCACTGTATAACGATTTGAATTGCACTTATGAATTAGTTTTGTACATTAAAATGATAATTTCACTGAACATTAAGGAGTGCCAGAAACTGATTGAAGTATTTCTACAGTTTTCTTAAACTTGGATTGAATAACTGCATTGACTTCCATCCAGCTAGTACTTTTTTTAAATAAGTGGATAACACATGTTTTTCTTTTACTTACCATTACATAAGGAAACCGAGATAAGTGAGTGAATTTAAGGACATATCAGAAGTTATTTGTCATTTAAGGTAACAGGTTATTTAATGTTAGAATAGACTTCAAATATCACAAAGTATTTTCAGCACAGAAACAGACCCTTTGGCCCAAGTGGTCGATTAAGTATTTGCTATAGATTTTAGCCAATCCACATAACATTTTACTTCTTCCTCATGTTTATCAAACTTCCTCTTTAAATGTATTTACGCTATTTTTATCTCAACAACTAGTTTTGATAGAAAGTTCCAAATTCTAACCCATCTTCTGGAAAATAAGTTTCTCCTGAATTCCCCATTGGATTTATTAGTGACCACCTTACAATTATAATCCCTAGTTATGGTACCCACAAATGGAACATTTTCTATATGCCTACCTAATCATTTCTTTTCATTAAGCTTTATCTGATCACCATTCGTCCTTCAGGTTTTGTAGAAAAACTATCCCTAGCCTTTTTACTGCTGGATCATTTATAGTAAAATCCTTTTGCATCTACATCCTTCTAAAAATGACAAAGACCACACCTATGCTTAGTACTCATCTATACCAGTGGAAAGTAACTATTTTGCTATTCAGTTCTTTCCCCTTGAGAAATCATTAAATCCATACAGTGCACAAAGAGACCATTCAGTCCTTGGAGCCTACACTGACCCTCCAAAGAGCATCCCTCCGAGCTCCCTGGTTCTGTGAGGCAGTAGTGCTAACCACTGTGCCACCTGGAAATGTTTCTGGTTTTGTTAACCTGTGCAACCACTTTGTGATTTGGTAAAATGAACAACAGACATAGAGCAATAACTTGAGCACCTATTAAAATAAAATGTCAGGAGTGTTATCAGACAGAAATTGACAAACTAAAGGATATATTAGCACAGATGACGAAGTTTGATCATGGGGGTGTCAGATTTGTACTGTGTAGCTTTTACTGAGCCCAAGCAAAATCAATCACGATTTAGTATTTTATCTTCTGGGTCTATCCACAGAACTCAGAGGTAATGAAGTACTTACTGATTCAGGAACATGAATTTAGATACCACCACAACAGCAGAGAATCTAAATTGTTAGTTAAAATAAAATCCGAAATAAATAGCTACTGTGACCTTGGAATACTCTATTGTCAGAAAAACTCAGCTGATCCAGTAAAGTCCTTGAGAGAAGGAAATTTACTGTCCTTAGTCAATGGTTGAAAATTCACTATAATATTAATATCCAGGAAGACAATCATAGTTTCTAGGCTATTTCCCATAAATGAATTAAAAGTTATGAAAGTTTGTTTTTGCTGGCGAGTGAGGTAAACATCCAGCATTCTTACAGATTGAGAAAGGGAAATTGGAATAATTTCTTTTTCAGCAGGCTTTTGGAACATGAAGTATGTTATCAGTAAAAACTGAAGCATAGTCATTTTAAAGGGCACTATAATCACTACTTAAAAACAAGATACAGAAAAATGTAATTCAAGTTCACAGCTCCAGCTGAAGGAAACCACACAAGCTTTTTTTGATTCACTGTGATAACAATTCAAAGTTGATGGTTTAGCAAGCAAGAACCTGTAGATGTTAACTCTGCTTCAGTTTATGAAAACAAGATTTTGGTTTTGAAGCAAATGCGCTATTTGTGTGTAACTGGCAGTGAGTCAAACCCAATAAAGACACAGCTGTCATCAGGCTGCCTAACAGTAGTTCATGTAAAATAACTTCAGTTACTGTAGCACTAAAAAAATAAATAAAACACCTCTGCAATGTCAATGAGCTGGACTTCAAACATGCAACTGTGTGCTTCTGATTAAGTTGATAAACTGTTTTATCTTTGCAGCTGAGGACATGCTCCAATAATTAGCTGCCTGCTTTAAAGACTGCAGAACTACTTAAGGATTGCACAGCTTTACATCATACAGTCTCTTCCACAGAAATGTTCACTGAACTAATTCAATTTCAGAATTTTAAGTATGATTAATCCAGAATGCATTGTTGTAAATATTAATATAATTATGAGGCTTTCATTCAAAAACACATTTTGAAAGCATACCACTCCCTACATCACTGAAATTAGTGGAATTAAATTGTGACACAGCTGGTCACAAACAAGGCAACGCAAAAATCAGATGATTAATGAATCATTCAGATTTGTGACATAGCTCTTGTTTGTATGACTTCTCAACTCTAATCTAAGCCAAAAGGAGTTGTACTAAGTAACCAGCATGCTAAACTGGCAGTCCCATCCATAAATCCAAACGTACAGTCTCAGACACAAGGCAAGTGATCTGCTTCATTCTGGTTGGTCTGTACTGAAAATTTAGAAGAACTTGTTGAGAAAGAACACAAATGTACAGTACAACATATCATTTTACCTAGGTTGTGTGGTGAAAAGAAACAATGGAGATTTTCTTCTTACCAATAACCCGAAGAGACAGCTTATTAAAAAATAGATTTTGTAAAAAAGATTTTCTTTTGGTGCTATATGATCCCAAGTAAATTTTACAGCAGTGTTTTTTTTTAAAACAGCCTCATGGCCCTTGCTGTATCTTTGTGCACAGCACTTCCAGCAAATCATTGCTTTTAAAAAGTAGGTCCTCAAAAGTGAACCAAATAGAGTTTCTGTTCTAATCATATTCTGTCAGCACTGCTGCTGGAGAAGTCTGTCTGCAGAGGGGCAATGTTGTGTTCATATGCTGCATACTCTGAGTTCCCAGTGCTGGCCAACTTTAGCTGCTGGGCAGCATGGGAGAGTTGAAATGCAGCATCGGGATGGGCTGTGTCCGGGAGGAGCGTGCATTCACGGTCCAACATATCAGCTACACCTTTCAGTAGGTCCAGAAATCCAAACGCTAGCGCTGCTTTTCTCAACCGATTTAGTTCCTGTAAAAGGAAACGCTCAGACTGAAAGCTGTTTTGCTTTTAAAATGTGAACAGAGTGCTCATCAAGTAAAGGTCCATTGTGAGGAATAGACAGTAATTACCATGTAGAGGCTAGCAGAGGACATGGAGTGCTGCTCCTATCATCCTTCATGTGACCAAATCTTTCCCTGCACAGTGAAGACAATTTCAACTTCTTGACTTCAGTTTCATTCAGAAACTTACAACTTGAGGCATATTCAGGCACCTTTGGTTCTGTGCACCATCATCTAATAGAAATTTAAATAAAATTCTCCTAATCTTATTTCATGCTTTAAAAAAAGAGATGCAATTCCAATTGAGATTAGGCAGGAGTCAAATCCAGATCCTGATCCTAAAGATCGAATCTAAGACAGCCATTTTACCCAGGACCCTATGAATTTTAAGTTTTCTGTAATCAGAATTTCCTACCTGAGTGGGAGATAGTAAGGGTGGAGGTTAAAGGTGGGAGATTTGCTCAATTAATGTGAGGCATCATATGAGGTGATCAAAAACTGAGGGCAGTGACTCAGCCAAGCTTATTTAGAAAAAAGCCTATGTTGAATGCCTGACAGAAGATACTAGGAATAATTTTTGGGATTAAAATATTCTTTTATTGTGTTATTTGAGTTTCCAGATGTTGCAAGATGAGACAAAGAAAGATAATTTTGTCAGTATTTGTCTACAAGCGGGGGGAGAAAAGATCAGTTTTAGGAGCAAATTCAATCATAGAATCCCTACAGTGTGGAAATAGGCCATTCAGCCCAACAAGTCCACACTGCCCCTCCAAAGAGCATCCCACCCAGACACATTCCCCTAACCCTGATTTCCCCATGTCTAAGCCACCTAACCTAAACATCTCTGGGCACTATGGGCAATTTAGCATGGCCGACCCACCCTCCCTGCACATCTTTGGACTGTGGGAGGAAACTGGGGCACCCAGAGGAAACCCACGCAGACACGGGGAGAATGTGCAAACTCCACAGACAGTCGCCCGAGGCTGGAATCAAACCTGGGTCCCTGGTACGGTGAGGCAGCAGTGCTAACCACTGAGCCACCATGCCGCTGTATCAGAAGCTGATAACCCTTGTGTGTATTTCCAATAGCTTTTATAATCTAAGCTACAAATTCTTCAACTGAACACATGCTGCTCAGGAACATAAAGGGAAATAGTGTCTATAACTGCTCAAAGTTCCAATGAGTTTTATTGACATTTTAATAATTTCAAGGGGAGTAAAATCTGAACTTTCCTGTGTGCAAGTGTTATTCCATTCAATAAATGTGAAGAGTGAAGGATGCGGGCTTCCTTCTGTCTGCTGTCTACATTGCAATAATGTCACACTTTATCAAGCATTACACACCAAGTGGCAAATTCTAGGAGGAAGAAAATTAACCAGAAAATCTTTCCCACCTGGCAGCAGCGACTTACAGAAATTTTACATTTAATTGTTTAATTTTAATTCATTTGCTAACACAAATTCACAGAGGACCAACCCAATTACTTTCGTAGATAAAGTTTACGAGAGAGAGAAAAAAAGCGATTACTTGGCCCAGCAAGTCTGCACCAGCTGAAAATGAGCCACTCAAGTCTAATCCTTTCCACTTACCTTATAAAATGTTTGTGTTTTTTCTGGAAGTTTCCTAGCATTTCTTAAGATCTTCTGAACATCAGTCTAAAAGGCAAAAGAGAAAATGTTAAGGGGCAAGTAAGAGACCCCCTGAAAGGCTGCACTTTGTTCATTCACTTTATGGAGATATCCAAAATGGAGCAGCGGAACGCTGATAATTTACTGTGATTCTGACAGGTTACAAAGGACAGCTAAATTATTCATTTTAGTCAAACTACAGTACAAGCTCAAGCCACAACTGAAACCAGCTTAGGATAGCCAACTTCAGCAACTAGTTTAGTGCTTGACAAAATTGCTACATAATCAGTGTATATTCTAATGTATTAATATGTCATACTTCAGACACATGAAGCAAGGAACAAAACAGACTGCAGGCACAACTGATAAAATAATTAATTGTGCTAGCAAACATTAAGGACAAATGAGAAATATTCTGGTACTGACTGGGTGGGTGAAATTTTACAAGTGATCTACTGTTCAAGCGGCAAAATGTCCAACTGTCAAACAATGCAGTGAGGTAAGTCACTCAGGTAGTCAGGACAATATAGCAATGATCTTGTGCCACCCATACCTGCAGTCCACTGGGTTTAATCCATACAGTAACATTCTGAGCATAACTGCGCTTTGTCCTAGGCTGTAGAGGGAAGGGGCTTTTGCTGTCATCTTCACCATAGGGATTTTCCTCAGCATCTGAAATTAAACAAAACAGTGTTTTACCATTAGAAACAAACATGGAGAAGATGGTTTGAGACTTGGTGTGAACAGAACTAGCTTCACAGAAAATCCAAATTCAGACTCACCCAGAATGGGCCCCAACTGCGACATCTTTCCAAGCCAAGGAAGAGGCTCCGGACCAGGCTCAAACAGAGACATCATCAGATTGGACTTCTTTTTGCTATCAGCCTGAGAATACAGCATCCCATACCAGTCTGGTCTGAACAGATCAACAAAAAAATCACCATCAAAGCAGCATACTAATGAACCACATTTTCCAGGCTCTAACATCTGAATGTGAGCAAGAGTCAGGAGAGGGTTTGGGCTGTGAAAAGCCTCTACTTACACAGACTCAATTGCTTGCTGTATTTATTGTGCAGCAATGTGAATTATTGCAACCAGTGAGCTTCTCTTTAGGGGGTCATTCTACTGATCTTTCAGCTGTCAGATGAATAATTATAAACCTCGAACTTGGGCACCTTGAGAAGCTATCTGTTTTGTTTGTGACAGTCAGTGTAAGTGGCAGAGTGGAGCTGAAGAACATTTACATCCCAAAGTAAACGGTCATTATCGGGGGTTTTCCTGTGCGTTTGAACCTTGTAGGCTCTTGGTACCTAATCTGGAAACAATTCTCAGGTTTCTCTGGGGCTGGTGTTTTTGAATGAAAGGCTGATTGGTTGAAGAAACTGTGACGGGACCCAGCTCCCTGCATACTGATCAACAACTACAGCAGCTGTGTATGTGGGGAGGGGCAACACAGGTTAATTCTCCCTTAACACTCCCCTACACCACACCCATCCAGGAAACCCTAGGGAAGGGGGGAAGTGTCTTTGTGACATCCTTCCACAGCACTGGAGGATGGCAGCACCTCATCATTAGATTTGTTCTCTGTCAGAAGTGAATCACTAAGGCACTACTGAGGTCAGGGAGTTAAACACAGTCTTACTGCAGCAACAAAATAGCTGAGTTCAAGAGCTCTGACCAGAACCATAATCCTAAACAAGGCCTTGGAATGTATGAAAAGTCAGGGTATTACATTACGGTATGTCAATAATAATTTGTCACTAACATCTTTCGTGTTTTTGCCAGCGTGGCCTCCTCAGAGTTAGTGTTACACTGAATACTCTTTGCTAATTTCAGAGCATGTTAGTGTACAGCTCCTCACCCGAGCAGCACTATAGCCACCATCCCTTCTACTTTGAGGCTGCCATGCAGCAAAACGCAAAACGATGGCATCTTTCCAGCAACTTGAGAAGCAGAAGTTTCATCTTCAGTTTCTTCAGGTAACCCGCTCCCCAGGTCATCACCTTCTACTAAAGCAAAGGGATACAAACACTTAACGATGGCACATTCACCCTCTGCTCTCTAACAGTAGCACCACAATAACACACTGTAGTTGTGCCACTTTCACCCTGTCACAAAGTCACTTCAATCTTGCAAGACACCAACTTCTACACACTTGCCTATAATATTCCCACCTTAACAAAACTGGTGGAACGCAAATTCTGGTTTTGTATCAATGCAGTGAAATGGACCCTACACAAGATGATGTAGGCAAGCACCCAGAAGCATTCTAGGAGGAGGAAACCGGCATAACAAGGGAACAGCAATTTCTGGATGGATAGGCCACTGGGATCCCTCCACTCTCTGGCGTGGGCAAATCTTTCACAAAGCTTCCAATCAGAATATGAGCAAGCTGCAGTTTGCCCAAAGACAGAAAGAGCTGCATCTCAAACTACTTTCTAGATGCTTCTGAAATCATCTATTAATTACAGTCAGTGATAAAGTCAAGGAAATAAAAGAGCCAATTGTGCTGGCATAAACAGGCTGACATTCTGGACCAATAACAGGCAAACCCTGCTTCACATAAATTGTGACAAACACATAGAAAAGAATGAACTTGGGTTTTAACAAAGGTTTCACATCAGGCTGTGCCAAAGTGCTTCACAGACAATTACATTTCTTATGAAATATAGTCACTGTTGTGGAGGAAACGCAGCTGCTAATCTGTGCACAGCAAGATCCCATAAACAGTAATGAGATCCCGATGAGCTAATCTGTTTTAGTGATACTAATTGATGGATAAATATTGACCAGCACACCAGATCTTCCTGCTCTTTTTCAAAGTGCAGTCAGATCTTTTATGGTCATCTGAAAAGGCAAATACCTGATTTCAAAGATGGCAGCATTCCCTCAATAATGCCCTGCAGTGTCAGCCTGGATTTCGTGCTCAAGTCTTCAAAGTCAGACTTAACCCAGAACCTTCTGATTCAGTGACAAGAGGGTACCACTAAGCCTAGCTGACAATTAGAATAGATTCTGGATGGAGTAATGGAAACCCTGCTTCACTGTGACAACTCTTCCCAAAGCTCACTGACAGGTCTGTACTATGTGGCTAACGCTCTCAAAATACCAAGTGACAGAAAAAAAGCACCCACCTTTATTGAGGGCTATGGGTAAAACCAAATGACGAGAAAGGACAGGTGGACTGGCAATATCTGCGATTTTTATAAATCCCACGATATCCAGCTCTAAGAAAGAAAAGAAACATCCAGTGAAAGATAAAACCATAGCCAGCTCTCCAATTCATCCTAAACCTGGAGCTTAAAGATCGCTAACCCTGAGCTCATACACATTTTGTTAGCAGGAGCTTGTAGCTGGCTTGTTCAGAAGATACACAGCTCTCTGTATCCAGTAGGATGCACACAATCCCAGTAATCCTACACCTAAACAAGTCACCCTGCTTGGAGTGTCAGCAATCTCTCATTTACAACAGGAAGCAGACCATAAGAAAGTTCATCCACTCTGCACACATTGCTACGAGGTTCCCAGTTTGACAGCAGACAATAACCAACACAGTGGAGACATGGTCAGCCTGCCTGTTGTAAATCTAATTGGCAGTTCAGAAGAAACGACATAGACTATGCTGAGAACATGGAACTCAGTACCTCAGGGGATGCTGAGGTGAATAGATGTGTTTAAGGGAATTCTGGAGAACAATATCTGGGAGAAAGGAATAGAAGGAGAAGTTGATGGGGTGTGGTGAAGTAGGGTGGACAAGGCTCATGTGGGGCATAAAGACCAGCATGCTCCAGTCAGGCTGAATGGCCCTTTTTTGTGCTGTCCAATCCAATATAATTCTGTTGGGTGACCTCATACAAACCCTCCCCCAATGTCAATAAATCCAGGAAGACAAAAACAACCTTTTCTGGAAGAACTCTGGAAAATGCTTTCTTAGAAAGAACACACCTAGTCCAGACTAGACAGCAAATTGCAAAAGATTATTAAATAAATACCTGGAGAGGAAATTCACCAGGCTGTGGCGAAAGAGCAGGGAGTGTGACTAACTGAATAGCTCTATTCCAAGCTGCATTATGGGCTGAATGGTCCCCAACTCTCTTGTATTGTGGGGAACCTTCCCATAGGAACCAATGTTTAAAAAGAAGTTAGGTTCTAAAGGACTTATCTGGGAAAAAAATTAAAACATTATACATGTGCTGTCTAAGTTGAAATTCAGCATCTCCTCTACTTTAAATGGTTAAATTCCTGCACTGGTAAATGAAATAGCTTTTAAAATAAATTTTACAGTTTAAAAATACAGAAGAAAAATGTAATATTCTGCAGTACTGTTAGATTGACAAATCTCCATCTAATGGCGAAGGCTCCTCAGTGCAGCTGGACTCCCAGGACAATTTACACCGACTGACTTCTGCCACTAGATAGAGCCCAGGACCTCAATTCAAATTCAGGAGTGAAGTGAGGACCAATAAATAGAGTCAGCAGCAAAGGGAGAGACCAGACCTAGATCTTAAAGATAAGGGGAAGGCAGGAAACGGGAGACAGGGGTGGGTAGCAAGGCCAGGAGGCAGACAAGAGCCAAGTCAGGTAGGAAATAGGGAGCGAGGGAGTGACAGAATTCAACAACACACACAAATGACACTAAAACAAAGATGGCAATGCAAAATGAAAGGAAAAGGGACCAAAGAATAAACTCCATTAAAATGAAATAATGTTAAGCAGGGAAATGTTATATGAGACTACTCGTACTCTGGTCTCACCAACACCCTGTGTAACTGCAGCAAAAACTTTCTCACTTTTATATTCTACACATCTTGTAGTGATCAACAACTTTCCATTTGCTTCCTAATCACTTGCTTACCTGTAGCTGCAGACTAACTTGCTGTGACTCATGTACCAGAGATCTGCAATCTCTCTCCATTTAAATAATATCCTGTTTTTCTATTCTTCCTGCCAAAGTGCACAAATTCACTTTCCCACATTATTTTCCATCTACTGATATCTTCTGTATCTTTGATCAAGTCACTGATATTTACTGTAAATAGTTGAGGTCCCGAAAACGAACCCTGTGACACTGCCTTCTGGAAATCCAAGGACACCACATCTGAAAGTTTCCCTTTGTCCTGGCTTGTCATAACTAATTGGAGAAATGACACCCAGTAAGCAAAATATATGAAACTGATGAGCAGTTTTTGATGTACAGTTGTGTCTGGGATGTTATTTATGTATTTACCTGTGAAAATAGAGGGAAAGTACCTGCTTAATACTCACCAACCAACTCTCTGTTTTCCTGTGAAATCTCACGCAGATTTTTGTGGTGGCCAGGAGACACCAGTGGATCTGACCTAGTAACCCACCCTGTTCCCCTGCCTCCCCCGAAAACCGACTGTTCCTGTCCAGCCCACTCAGCCATGCACTGTTCTGCCTGCTCTACAACTAAGTGCTGCCAACCCAATTCCCAGTAAATATAACTGGAATGGTTTACAGTACACATTCAGCGGCAGCAAGCTAACCATATCAGTCAGAATAAAGGAAGCTGTGCTTTGCTTATTCCACATTTGAAAGTCAGAATCCTGGTGCTAACATCAGTGATTAAAAAAGCAAAGTCTCTGGTTCTCTCCTAAGATCATTTATACTGATGAACAGTAAGATCCATATAAAGAATAAAAAGCCAAACTAAGTGGAAGAGACAGCCCATCAACAGGTTGATCTATCTGAGCAGACTCACCTGTGTTGATTGTCTTTGGAACAGGCTCCAGTTCTTCATCAATGATGACAGGTTCTGGTCTCGGAAACATCTGCATGTCTGATACCAGGTGACCACATTTCAGCACAGCATGAAAAGGAGAGTAGGCTTGGTCAATCAGTTTGCTGCAACGTGAAAGAAAGTCATAACATTGTGATCCAAGATGCACATTGGTGACGTTCTACTCCCCAACTTCTGTCTGGATATTTAATACTCTTTGATACCTATATCTGGATATTTAACATTTCTGCTAACCCCACCTTCATATTTAATATGTTTTGTTCCTTACAATTGGGCTCCAAGTTTGTATAGGTCTTTGAAAACCCTAATCTGTAGCTAGTAAACATTGAAGGTGAGGCAGTTATTAGACTGGGTCCCTCTCTGATGTGACCTCTCTTGCTCCGTCTGGAGTATAAATGTCTAGATTCATTTCCCAGTCTGCTAGGCAGCAGGAATCCCTTATGTAAAGGATATACAAACTCGTGGCTAGGCTTCTGTGCACCAAACCTATATATATATATTGTTCATGGTGAATTTTTTTTGGAAACATAAAGTTTCACGTGCACAAAGTATTTGTATAATAATTGTTTACTTGTTCGTAGGCAGTATGCCTTGAGCAGGAATTTACTTGAGCTCCTATAAATAAACACAGACTAAAACTGTGCTGGTTGCCTGATGAAGCATACACTTGTAATGTGTAACTCTGCAAATAAATATACGCATGTGTAAAGGTCAGCTCCCAGTTGGTTTTATGAGAATGAAAATAGCAATTCTGAAATAAACGTTTTTATCATTTGTTTCTCGTGACAGCCCAGTCCTGAATATTTTTAATCAAATAAATACACAGAATAGTCTAAGACTTCAGAATGCTAACTTTCAGATTAGAGAAAGAGTAGTTTCCTGCTGCAGTACGATGGACAGGAGGATCAGAATCAATGGACAGTGAGAATGCCAAACTCTATCACACTGCTGTCTATTTTAAACATGTTACCTGATTTAATCAGCTTATTTTCTGGAGATGAAGCACGCAAGTTACCACCAGATCATAATTAAAATGATGATTCTGTTACATACTTCACCACAAACAACCAATCTGTGTCCCACTCACAGAAATCACATACCCAAACATGGACTGCACATTTTTCAGGCAGAGAGGACCATCAATAGTGAAGATCTGACCCTCGCCGTTATTTAAATCTATAAGACGTTCCAGAACGTCCAATGTATCCGTGGTCTGCAGCTGAAAGAGACAAATTAATGTCACTTTGGAAAACTTTCAATTGGTTCACATACACATTCTCTTGTTACAGTCACACAGACCTGTCATTTCTTACACTTACCAACTCTCTCACTACAGCCACATTGTTGTACTGCTAGGTACATAAGCACACTTTGCACCTAAAAGATAACCTCACGCTGGTGGAGAATAATCTTCTCCCTGTGTTAGCAGTTAGAATTCTAATTGAAATGCACTTTGGACAGTATCAAGTTACATACAGACGAACATCTGAGCAAGAGCAGCAATAGACCATTCAGCCTCGAGTCTGTACAATCTATCGATCAGACCAGGGGACTGACCTGACCGTAACCTCTGAACCCACGTTCACCACCTGCCTTAACAAAAACCTACCAACCTCTTCCCTAAAAATATTCAGGCACTTTACTTCCACCAACCTTCCAGGAGGAAAGTTCCAAAGACACTCAACGCTCAGAGAAAAACCATCACCTCACCTATTTCAAATGGGTGACCCCATATTTTTAAATAGTGACCCTGAGTCTGTCAAGGCCCCTCAAGATTTTGCGTCTTTCAATCAAATTGCCTCTTATTTATTTAAATTCAACTGGATACAAGCTGAGCCTATCCAACTTTTCCTCAGAAGACAACTTACCCGTTCCAATCTGTTAAATTTTTGCTGAACTGTATGCATTCTTCTGTGAATAAGATGTAAATACTGTGTACAGTACTCTAGATGCGGTCTCACCAGTGCTCTGCAGAACTGAAGCATAAGCTCCCTGACTTTCATTTTCAATCTCCTTCACAATCTCAGAAAAATTCTATTAGATTTCCTAATTACTTCCTTTATCTGCACACTAATCTTTTGCAATTCATGCACATGGACACCCAAATCCCTCTGTATCTGAGCTCTGAAAACTCACCATTTAGATAATATGCTTCTTTTCTAATCTTCCAGCAAAAATAGACAAAATTCACATTTTCCCACATTATATTCCATTTTCTAAATCTTCGCCTCCTCTCATATTGCTGTGAGGGATGTTTAGCCAACTGGCCTTTAATTTCCTGCTTTCTGTTTCCTTCCCTTTTTGAACAAAGGAGTTAGATTCACCATCTTCCAATATAATCGGACCATTGCTGAATCAAGGGAATTTTGAAAAATTAAAACCAGTACATCAACAATCTCGCTACATCCTTAAAGACCCGAGGATGAAGTCCATCAGGATCTAGCATTTGTCAGCCCACAGTTCCAACAAATTACTCTCTATCATTTCTCTGATGATTGTGACTCATGTGAATCCAGGCACATAGCAAAATGGTTGACTCCTGACTGCCCTCTGAAATGGCCTAGAGCCAGTCAGTTCAAGCAGGCAATTAGGGATAGGCAATAAACAGAGCAGGAGTAGGCATTCTTGCTGCAATTATACAGGGCCACACCTAAAATACTGTGTTCAGTTTTGCTCTCCTTATCTGAAGAAAGATGTTCTGGCTATTGAGGGAGTACAGCAAAGACTTACCAGATTGATTATGGTAATGGCAGGACTGATGTACAAGGAGAGGTGGAATCGGTTAGGTATGTTTCAGTGGAGTTCACAAAATAAAGGGTATCGCATAGAAACAGTAAAATGATAGTAGGACTGGAGGGGATTGATGCAGGAAAAATGTTCCCATGACAGGGGAATCCATAACAACGGGCCACAGTTCAAGGATACCAGCTAAACCACAGACAAGGATAAATTTCTTTACCTAGTGAATGGGGAACCTGTGGAATTCTCAAAAAGCAGTTGAGGTCATAGCACAGTATAATTTCAACAAGTTTGATACAGCATTTGAAGCTAAAGGGGTCAAAGGATATTGGGAAAAAGCAGGAACAAGGTAGTGAGTTCGATAACCAGCCATGATCCTAAAGAATGGTGGAGCAGACTCAAAGGCTAAATGGCCTACCCTATTATCCATATTCGACGTGATTTATATTTCATATTTGTTCAGGTCTGCTGGAACTCTCAGATCAGCTGTTTTATTTTGAATACTATGTACATTCTGATTCAGACCCTTCAGTTTTAGCCTTTAATTCTCTTTATAAGTTTTCAGTCTCATCTGTTGATTAACTCTTAGATTTGCACTCTCTCCCTTCCTGTCAAGGTCTGTTTATCATTTCTCATGTTAATAACCTTCTTACTGGCCTCGACACTGCTCTTTGATTTACCATATCTTCCCAAATTTGACTCCTTGTTCCCAATATTCAATTTAAAATGCTCCCTCCTGCTGTTGGAAAGAACACCAGCCTTAGTATGCTTCAGGTGGAGTCCCACAGATCCTACTTTGCCTGGTGCTGGTGCAAGTGTCCCACAAACTTGTACCCACTGTTCCCATAGTGGCCTTTGAATTACACATTCATCTCTCAAATCTGATTTGCCACATGCTAATTTGCATGTGCATTGGGTAATAAAACAGGAATTATGACCTTTGGAGGTCTGCTTCTGGATTGGATGCCTTGTTCCTTATACTGACGTTGCAGAACCTTCTTCTTTGTCATGCCAGTGATACATACATGAATCGGGATGGGTGGATCCTCCCCTCCCTGGCAGGTTCTTCCCCAGCCCTAGGCAGATGGCCTGAACCCTGGCACTGAACAAGCAACACAGCCTTCTGGACTCTCACGCCTTACCACAAAAAAAGTCAATTCCCCTGACCACAGTCTCCTACTACCACTATATTCCTCCTACTCTCTCTTTGTCTTGAATGGCTGCCTGTCCAATGGAGTCAGGGTCAGTTTGCTCACATCCCTATAGTCCTCACTCAATCAGACAGAGTGAAAGAACCTCAAACCTAATGGACACTGAAAAGGCTCATGCTCCCGCTGTCCTGCCCTCGGAGTCTCCTTACCTGCCTCACTCAGTCAAATCCTCCCATCCTGGGCTTATAAGACAACCCAACCCTAAGAGTTGTGACTGCTCCCTGGTACAAAGAATCCAGGTAACTTGCCCCCTCCCTATCACATCACTATGTCTACAGTTAGGCACGTTTGCTCAAGACCAATACTGGCATCCAGGAGCTCCCTCATGCTGCAAGTGAAACACTTCACCTGTCCTACCATCCCTAATGTGTTCCAAGGAACTATTTAACTATTGTATGTAACTTTATATTTAGTTTTTTAAATATATTTTATTAATCTTATCCCCAGCTATAATACAATGTTGAACTTTAGGAACAGAATACATCTTAATCACTTCCCAAACATTCACCAATTAACCAGCTTCTACTCCTGCAGCAGAATAATTCCTGCAGGCTGTAAAAGTTTAGGCAAAAGCAACAGATCACCTCTTTCCCATCCTGTCCTTACCTACCTGAATCACTTAAATTTAACAGTCTACTATAAATCCCACTTTATTGTATATCACATTAAATTGGTTAGTTTTATATGCTCTGAAGACAAAAGGCCTGACTGACTCACTAAATGAAGATCCAGTTTCAGCTGGCTCTTACTAAACTGCTTTTACACTGGACTCCTTGAAAAAAAAACCTTCTTAAGGTCAGTATTCAAAGTGTTTAATGCTAACTACAAACTAAAATCAGATGTACAGAGTTAGAATACCTTACCACAACTGCATACACTCAATTCTAACTAATTTTATAACAATATTGATATAAATATTGATACAAACACACACAGTGGAACAACATAGGAATGCTAGGGTAAACTGCGTACTGCACAGGCAGCCTGCATCCGGTGCTCTAATACTGAATGTAAAGGTCTAATTTCCTCAGAGACATCAGGTACCTCTTCCAAATTAGCGATGCACATAATGTACAACTTTGAAGGAAAAGGAAAAGGCAGTGGGAATTTGCTGTCTTCGGAGCGCTGACTGAGGAGAGAAAGGGAATGGCGAAGTGATCCTCGACCTATTCCCAGACTCCCATCCGTTACAAGGATCACCTAGAAAAAGAAATATTTCCAATTAAAATAAGTCATTGTGTCCAACGGGCTGCTGTCAGCAATTCCAAACAAATTCAGATTTTATTACTTACAAAGAAAATAGCTTTATTACTACATTTGTTTATTTCAATATTCCACATTTTTTTTTACAGCAGGAATTGAAACACTCATCAAAAACCTACCTCACAGGCACACCAGTTTAAAGCGCAAAGAACCCTGATTTCTGCCATACACAGAGCTGAAACCAATGAAATTTATGGTGCACTTCTGTACCAGGATAGAAAGAAGGGATCTGCATTTCTATAGCTCAACCCAATATTTTCTAAAGCACTTTCCAGACAATAGAATACTTCTAAAATGTAGTCGCTTCTGTAATGTAGGAACATAGCTGCCCATCTGCACACAGCCAGCTCCCAGTCAACTATGTAATATTGACCTGATCATTCATTCTGGCAATGTTGAGAGATAAATATTGGCTAGGACAATGGAACTGCTCCCCCGTCTTTAAAATTGTGCCCTGGGAAATTTAACGCCCTATGAGCATGCAGCTCATTTTAACATCTCATCTGAAGGACTGCCTCCCAAAACTGTACTGAGTGTGTCAGCTTAGGCATTGTCCTGAAGTCTGCAGACAAGGGCTTAAACCCACAATGTCTGTTTCAAAGCGAGAATGATAGCAACTGAAGCACAGCTTAAAGATACAGCCAGTCAGTCATACTGAGCCTCTCTCAGGGAGGAACATCATACTTAGCATGGAAAGTCTAACACCACAATCAGTAAAGTTTTTATATTAAATGGGTCATATGTACAGGAGCAGTCAATTGCAGATTAGAATCTGATGAACAAATAGATCTATTGGCAAATGTAAATGTTCCAGATAGAGACTGTCCTGGCACTCGGTTACAAACACAGCACATTCTCAAGACCCTCTGTAATGTGTGTGTGCGTGTGTGCGCGCGCGCTGGGCACAATGACAATGACGACAGACGACACAACTTTAACAATTTCTAATCAGGGACAGAAAGAACATGTAATTTCAACAATTATTCCCAAACTGAATTGCAAAAGTCAAAAAAAAACACTCCAGAGTTGTAGATCAAGGAGGTAGATAATCAAACGTAAATCAGATAAATGATTATTTGAGAAAACAGAGTTAACATTTCGGGTCCGGTGACCCTTCCTCAGAACTGTTCTGAGGAAAGGTCACCGGACCCGAAACGTTAACTCTGTTTTCTCCTTCACAGATGCTGCCAGACCTGCTGAACTTTTCCAGCAACCTTGTTTTTGTTCCTGATTTATAGTATCTGCAGTTCTTTTGGTTTTTAAATGATTATTTGAGTCCAGTTACCTGACAGGGGATGCAGACACCCCACTCATCCTGCACAATGTTACTAATGCCATTCAGTGCGGACTCCAGGCAAGTCTTGTCGTAGTCATCCGCAGAACTCAGTGCCTCCTGTAAAAGTTCCAACATGATCGAGTGAAGCAAGCTGCCAGCAACACCCTGAAGCTTTTAAATCTCAAATAACAGCAACAACTTATATTGAAATAGTCCTTTTTGCATAGTATTTCAAGGTGTTTCACAGGAACATTATAAAGATTTGACATGAGGCACATTAGGAAATATTAGCATAGTAAGAAAAAGCTTGGTCCAAGATGAAGGTTTTACGAAGTGTTTTAAGGAAGAATGATAGATTGCTTAACACAGAAAGAGCCCATTCAGCCACAGAGTTAGAAGACTCCACCACAGCAATTTGAGTCCCACTCTCCTGTCCTTTCCCGGTTATCCTGTAAATCTTCTCTTCAGCTGATTTCCTAATTCTGTTTAGAAAGGCTTGATTAACCCTGCCTTCACCACACTTTCCGGCAGTGCATTCCAGATTCTAAGCTGTTTTTGCAGGAACATTTTTTCTCTGCATTGCCTTAAATTAGTGCCCTCTAGTTCTCGAACCTTCAGCCAAATGAAAGGGTTTCCCTTTGTCATTTGTTTGTTCATTCACAAGTTGCTGTACTGCTAGCTAGGCTGGACATTTATCGACCTCCAGCTTTCATCAAGGTAGTGGTGGGAACTGCCTTCACAAACTGCTGCAGTCCTTGGGCTGTAGGTATAACCAGTGCTATTATGGGTAGCGTTCCAGGATTTTGACCCAGTGACACTGAAAGAATGGTGATATGCACCTGCTTCCCTTACTCCATATAGATTGATGATTTTGAACATCTTTATTCAATCTGCTCTCTACTTCCTCATGGAGGATGGTCCCAGTTCTCCAAGTTACTTAAATTTTATAATTCCTGGAACCCCTCCTCTCTGCTCCTCACTAAACACTTTTCACATCCTTCCTAAAATGGGGGCAGACAGAGAGAGAGAGAGAGAGAGAGAGAGAGAGAGAGATGTTTAAGGATGCACTTACAGAGCTTAACACCTCAGTATCTAAAGAACCATAGCTAATAGTGGAGTAATTATAAGTAGGAATGCGTTAGGGGCCAGATTTGGAGAATTGCAGATATCCCAGAGGTTTGTGGGCTGGCAAAAATCACAGGAATGGAGTGGGATGAGGTCACAGGGAATTTGAAAAGATCTAAATTTGGCTTGTAAGTATGACTGTGTTGCCAAATTCTGAATGAATGCAATCTACAAGTTTGCTGATGACCCCACCGTGGTAGGATGAATGTCTAACAACGAGTCAGAAGAGAGAAAGCAGATAGACGGCTTGGTGATGTGGTGCAATGAGAACAACATTTCTCTCAACCTTGTCAAAACTAATGAACTGATCATTGACAATCAGAAAGAAAGGAGGAGAACACGACCCCATTTACATCAACAGAACCGAGGTTGAGAGAGTAGAGAGTGTCAAGTTCTTTGGAGTGACGATAACCGACGACCTGTCCTGGACTTCCCATGTAAATTCCTCAGGCAGCTCAAGAAATTTGGCATGTCCATAACGTCCCTCACCAACTTCTACAGATGCACCATTGGAAGCATACTGTCCAGGTGCATAACAGCCCGTATGGAACTGCTCTGCCCCGGATCATAACAAACTACAGAAGGTTGTGTGCACAGCCCAGACCATCATAGAAACCAACCCATCCCTTCCATGGACTCCATTTACACAGCTCGTTGCCACGGAAAGGTTGCCAACATCAAAGACCCATCGCAACCTGGTAATGCTCTCCTACAACCTCTTCTGTAAGGCAGGAGATACAGAAGCTTGAACACATGCACCAGCAGGTTCAGGAACAGCTTCTTCCCGGCCATTATCAGACTGATGAGTGGACTCTCTAACTTCAAATAAAGCTGACCTTGCTAACGTTGATCTTGCCTAGCGAACGCCCTGTGCAATGTAACCTTTTGTGCCTCTGTTCCTAGGTTTTTTTTTCACCTTATGATCTGTATGTCCTCACTTACTATGCTTACAGTACTGCCTGTACTGCTCGTAAACAAAGTTTTTCACGTACTTAGGTACACGTGACAATAAATAAATCAAATTAAATAGGAGGGCTGCTTTTGTGATTGGAAGCCTATGACCAGCTGTGTATCAAAGGGACTGGCGTTGGGACCCTTGATGTTTGTTATGTACATTATGACTTGAATGGAAATGTAGAAGGTATAATTACTAAGTTTGCAGATACACAAATATTTGTTGGTGATGTTGTTAATAGTGAGGTCTGAGGCTACAGTCTGATATTGATCAGCTGGAAAATTGGGTAGACCAATAGCAGATGGAATTAAATCCTGATCAGTTTGAGGTGTTGTATTTTGGGAGGTTCAATATAGGAAGGATATACACAATGAATGGTAAGTTCCTATGGAGTTCTGAGGAACAAAGAAACCTTGGTGAATAAGTCCACAGCTCCCTGAACATGTCAGCACAGATAGACAGGGAAGAAAAGAAGGCATATGTGATGCTTGCCTTCATTAGCTGGGGCATAGAATATAGGAGTAAGGAAGTCTTGTTACAGCTTTATAAAATAGTTAGGCTACTGATGGAAAACTGTGTGTAATTCTGGTCGCCACATGATTGGAAGGATGTGAGAAAGGATGCAGGGAGATTCTCCAGGATGTTGCCTGGGATGAAAAGTCTCAGTTATGAGAAGAGACTAGATAGGCTGGGTTTGTTTTCCCTAGCGCAGAGGTATACAAAATTACGAGAGGCATAGACAGGATAGATTGAGAGAATACCTTCCCTATGGCAGATGTGTCCAAGACCAGTAGGCCAAGTTTAAGGTGAGGAGTAAGTGGTTTAGAGGAAATCTGAGGAATTTTTTTCACCCAGAGGGTGGTAGAAATATGGACCGTGCTGGACGTACTGAGGTACTCTCACAACATTTAAGCAGCATCTGGATGAGCACTTAAAATGTCGTGGCATAGTCAGCTATGTGCAGGTAAATGGGACTAGTGCAGTTTGGTGTTTGTTAGTCAGCATAGACAAAGTGGGCTGTTTCTATGCTGTATGACTATGTCTCTATAAAGGCAAGATAATATCATAAACACACTGTTAACCTCCAAATTTCACTCCCAAAAGCACCAATTATTGTGATACCTGCTAGTGCCTCAGACAGCTGACTACTCCACATGTGAGCACATTGACAGGAACTATCAATAAGCTATTCCTTCATGGGAACTTTACACAATCCTGTCTACAGGAATCCTGGCTGGAATCTTGCTTAGACATTTAGCCACCCAGGCTTGTCCAGCAATAACTAACTTGACACAGACTGTGGGGTCTGTACATTTTATCTTTACTCACTGTGATTTCTGAAACCACTTGCTGGATCCTCCATTTCCTGATATTACAAATTATTCATCCAGTCATGTGGCAATTCTCCCAGAAACTAAAGTTCAACTAATTGTATTTTAATGAAATACATTTATTATGACTGCATTTTCTGATCTTCTTTCTCAAACTCTGTTGAAAACAATGAGGATGAGGAGCCCCTACCTGCAGAGTATTGTAGTCCCTGGTGAAGGGAACCATGAGCTCCCAGAGTGAAGAGAAAGCCACAAGACAGGTGAACTCCAGTTTGTAATTGGTTGCCATGTGTTCAAACAGCATGCTGAGTCCATGGGCAGCCAAGTGCTTGCGCTGATATTCCTCCGTGCCTTCCAGAGACACAGGCCGGGTCATGGAGAGAGAAACATCCAGTAAGACCACAGTCGGCATGGCTGGTGACACAATCACTCACCTCTCCACTTAAACAAAGAATGAACAGATTTGCTGTAATCAAATTTAAAAAAAAAAATTCTTGTGAAATACTTTATCATTTGATGGAACCAGATCTCAAAACATTCTAATCTAACAACAAAGCACAGCAGCTGGTGACACTAACTGGGTAACTTGCCATAAACCCTACATTAAACAGTCAAAGAACAAATCATTTATACTCCTAGATTTACAAAGTTAGGAAGAAGGCATACAGTTCATCCAATTTGCTTCTTTATCCAAGTCGTTTCACAAAATACCTCCATGAACCTCTCTCCACTTCAAAACAACATTCCCAAAATTCTCAGATTAAGAACCACCGTCCAACAAGTCTGTGTTCAACAATTTTACTAGCTGCATGATCAAACATTACAGTTGCTGATCGAACACAGTAATGTACTGAATGTGGAATGTTATAGGAAAAGGCTTTTCAGACCAACAACCGTGTGCTAGTTGTGAATTCAGTTTCAGTTCCAATGTCCTCCTCTTCCCTTGGCCCTGCAATTTGTTTTCCTATCTAATTAATTTTGATCAGAGCCAGACACAAGATGAAGACTAAATCCGCGAGTGTTGCTCAATTCTGGGGAGGCTCTTCATTCTGAGGTTGCTGCACACACAATGTCAGCAAAGGGAGAAGCACATGGTTGAATTTGGGTGAAAAAATGTTGGACATTGTCCAGGATGTGGTACCGTCTCCTGATCCCTTCCCTCCTGGGACTTACTACACCACAGGCTCTGAGGAGATACAGAGGGTGGGGAGGGGGGTTGACAGGCATTTTTATTATTTATTGTGTTCAAACTTCGTCCATTTCCCATCACCGGAGCTAGAGGGAAGCTGCAAACTGAAAATAAACTCTCTGGTCCTGCTGCAGCACCTACCCGAGCCCGAGGCTGTGCGGCCTAGAGCCCGAGGAGTCACTGGTTTCGAAATCCTCCGAGTCCGCCACCTCCCGCTCCGTCCCGAGTCACCCGCACTCCGGGCCGCCCGCATTCGCCTCAACATTCGTTCCGCGCACATACGGACTCAACCCACAACATCATGTGCCTCAAATCAACCCAACCCCAGGAAAGTAGGAGGAGCACATCCATCTGTGTATGATAATATCTGACTGAGTGTAATTGTTCCCTGTCTAATTCACAATGTATAACTGTTATCCATGGAACTACATTATATATAATTGTATGTAAGTTCCTTATTTCATATTCAATGTCCGTGCACATTCAAATCATCATTCCTCCTTCATTTGCAATAGAAACTTCAATAGTAAATTCATACAATGGTTATATTCTCCCACCACAGAGGCACGACAGGTTTAAGGCAAGTCTTTGTTTTTATTCCTAATGACATAGTTATATTTAAGGTATTTGCTTTGTGCATTCTCTGGATGTGGGCATCACTGGTGATACCACCATTTATTGTTCATTTCTAGTTGTCCTGGAGAAGATGGTGGTGAGCTGCCTTCCTGAATCACTGTAGTCCTTGGGGTATAGGTACTCTCACAATAGGAAGGGAGTTGCAGCATTTTGACTCAGTTACAATGAAGTGCGGATATATTTCCAAATGAGGCTGATATGTGGCATGGAGGGCAACTTGCTGGTGATGGTGTTCCCATGTATCTCCACCATTGATCTTCCAGATGGTAGAGATCATGGGTTTGGAAGGTCCTGTCCAAGGAATCTTGGTGATTTACTGTACTGTATCTTGTAAATGGTACACACTGCTAAAAGTGATGAAGGGAGTGAATATTAGAGATGGTGATGTGGTGCCAATCAAATGGGCTGCTTTGTCCTGGATGGTTTCAAGCTTCTTGAGTGCTTTTGGAGCTGCACCTATTCAGGCAAGAGAGGCGCATTCCCTCACAGTCCTACTTCTGTTTGTGGGGGTGTACAGGCTTTGAGGGGAGTAAAGAAGTGAGTTACTCACTAAAGATTTCACAGTCCCTGACCTATTCTGGAATGCTAGTCCAGTTCAGTTTTTGGTCAATGGTAACCCCACAGGATGTTGATTTTTGGATGGTAACACCTTTTGATGTCAAGGTATGATTCCTGATTCTGTCTTGTTGGAGTTGGTCATTGCCTACCACTTGTGTGGTGCAAATGTTACTTGTCATTTGTCAGGCTCACAAATGGATGTGGTGGCGTTGCAGAACTTAGATCTTGTCTGTTAGTTATGGGATCATTTAGCCCTGCCTATTGCATGCCGGTCCATCTTTTAGCATGCAAGGAATCCTGTGTTGTAGCATCAACAGGTTGACATCTCATTTTTGAGTATGATTGCTGCTGCTCATGACATTGGTCTTGCTGTATATGGATGTTGACAGTGTGATTATCTGAGAAGTCATGAATGGTGCTGAACATTGTGCAATTGTCAGTGAGCATCCCCTCTTTGGACCTTATAATTGAGGAAAGGTCATTAATGAAGCAGCTGAAGATGATTGACCTCAGCAAAACCCAAACTGAGCGTCACTAAGCAGGTTACTGCTGAACAGGTTGATGACATCTTCCATCATTTTGATGATAATGGAGAGTAGATTGATGGGGCAGTAATTGGCCTGGTTGGATTTGTTGTGGTTTTTTTTTTGGACAGAACATATTTGAGCAATTTTCCAATTTGTCAGGTATATACCAGTGTTGTTGCTGTGCTGTAACAGCTTAGGAAGGGATACAGCTAGTTCTGGAACTCAAGTCTTCAATAGAGTTACAGGAATGTTGTTGTCAGGGTCCACGGCATTTGCAGTATCCAGTGCCTCAACCTGTGTTTTGATATTGTATAAAGTAAATCAATTCAGTTGAAGACTATCATCTGAGAAGCTGGGGACCTCTGAGGAGGCTAAAATGGATCATTCACTCAACACTTCTGGCTGATATGGTTGCAAATAATTTAGCCTTGTCTTTGTACTGATGTGCTGGGCTTCCCCCAGTATTGAAGATGGGGATATTTGTGGAACCTTCTCCTCCAGTCAATTGTTTATTTGTCCACCACCTTTCACAACTGGATATGTGCAGACCTTAAATCTGATCCTTTGGCTATGAAATCACTCAGCTCTGTCTATCACAGTATGGCACAGAAATAGTCCCATGTTGTAGTTTCACAGGTAAATACCTCATTTTTATATATGTCAGTGCTGTTCCAGGCATGCTCTCCTGCTGTCCTTGTTGAAGCAGGGTTGATTCCCTGGCTTGATGGTAATGGCAGAGTGGGGGAATATGCTGGGCCATGAGATTACAGATTATGTTTGAATACAGTTCAGCTGCATCTTACGGTCTACAGCTCCTCATTGGTGCCCAGTGTTGAGCTGTTAGATCTGTCCAAATTCTGTCCCATTTACCCTCCATCATGTTGTAAGGGACTATCTTTGATGTGAAGATGGTACTTTGTCTCCACAAGGACTGTGTGATGATCATTTTTACTGACACCGTCATGGACAGATGCATCTGCAGCTGGCAGATTAGTGAGCATGAGATCAAGTGTGTTTTTCCATCTTGTTGGTTCCCTCACTACCTGCCGCAGACGCAGTCTAGCAGCTATGTTCTTTAAGATCCAACAAGCTCGATCAGTAGTCACTCTTGGTGGTGGACATTGAAATCCCCCACCCAGAGCACATTATGTGCCTTTGCCATCCTCAGTGCTTCCTCTAAGTGTTGTTCAACATGGGACTCCTGGGCAACTCTCTCCCAACTGTATCCCAATGTATCATCACCTCTGCAGGGTCAGTCCTGTCAGTGGGACTGGACATATCCAGGGATGGTGATGGTGGCGTCTGGGACATTTTCTGTAGGGTATGATTCTATGACTATGTCACGCTGTTGCCATTCCCAAACTTTGTAGAGTTGACAGGACTGTGTTGTCATTTCCATCTGTTCAGAGTTTGGAAGAAGAATCATATTGGATTCGAAACATTAACCTTTTTTCTCTCTCCACAGATGCTGCTAGACCTGCTGAGTTTCTCCAGCATTCTCCGTGTTTATTTCAGATCTCCAGCTTCTGGAGTTGTTTTCAAATAGAGATATCCATGTACATATTTCGAATAATTTCAAACAAAACGAATTAAAGAATCGCGTAGAAGTGTTAAAAATCAGAAGTGAAACTCAAACAGGGTTCAGTGTATTGTTCTGAGGAAGGATCACTGGATCCGAAACATTAACTCTGATTTTTTTTCTTCACAGATGCTGCCAGACCTGCTGAGCTTTTCCGGCAACTTTTGTTTTTGTACAATATATTAGCACCTGAAGGAAGTGGCAGAGCACTCTGATCACTGAGGCGAGGAGCTGATGGCCGGGGTGCTGTTCCCACCCTCCGCGGGTCTGACACTGACCATTATCGGTCATCAGATCGTTTACAGGTGATTGCAAGATGCAGCAGGCGGTTTATTTCATGGTCTGTAACAGTGAGATTGCCGCGGAATTGGACTGAATGACCAATAACAAACGGTGAGGAAAGGAAGATGTTTGTTTTCTGGGACAGTGTGAAACTGTCTTTCTCTGGAGCGCAGAGGTCACAGTCCTGTTCGTGTTCAATTGTCTGAAAGGCGGTTTAATCGCTTTAGGCTCTTAGTCAGGTAACTGGCAACGTCCTTCACATTTGACCCGGGATTAGCTTCAGGACATTCGTCCTTGTCCCATTCGGGACTTTCCCGGACGGAAACCGAGTGACCCCACAACTCCCCCCCCCCCCCCCCCCCCCAGCCCCCCCCCCCCCCCCCAGCCCCTCCAGGCGGAATCCAGGAACAGGTTCCGCAGAATATCGGGTCAGACCCGAAATGTATCAACCCTCAGGTGGAGGCTTCGCGATTTGATCATTCACTTTTGTTGAATTTGTTGAATTTGTTGAAACAAACTGAGAGCGGCAATCGGAATATTTTAATCCAAGCTCATGGGCATTTGATTTTGTGGATTATTCAGAAACAAAGTAAATGGTTTCTGTTTCCATAGAAACCGATTTATGATGTGAAGCAGAAGCGGAGCACGAAGTTTTTCTCTCTGTCCCGATAGAGAGAGTGAGCAGGAAATAGAGGGATCGCAGCCCAGGGATCAGGTCATTTCAGAGGGAGCTCCTGGGTAGATGTGGTTAAAGCTTCTCACTTCAAACGGTCGCCTTCTCTCGCTTTCCCTAAGCTACTTAAAAAAGAAAAGCTGCCAGCGATTGAAGGAGGTGGAAGTGGAAATAGCGTTACGGTTCACTTTCACTGCTCCAGGAACGGAGAGCGGTTTGTACATGTCCCGATAATCCCTGCCTGTGTGGGTTTTATTTTAGTTTGATAACTTTCTGTTTATTTTCCCCACAGGGTTAAGGTTAAAGAGGAGCTCACTGGGCAATGTCTCTGTAACCCAAATCCCAATATTCACAACCAGCCCCACTGCCCGTCAACACAAAATCTCAACCAGCTCCAGGATCAGCAGCAAAGGGAACAGTGTGGCCCCAAAAGAAGCAACAAGTGGGGAATAAATCATCAGCGAGAAATCCTTTCATGGCGGAGCTCTGCGTTTCGATTCTTCAACACCAGCCGATGGTCATTTAAAAGGGATCCCCAGCACCAGCACCCCCTCCTTTGCAGGGACAGCCATGTACCTGAGCCGGAGGAGGAGGCTTTGCTGTAACCGGGTTCTGTTTCTGGTTTCCGGATTGATCATTTGCTCCGTCCACCAGCTGCTGAGCGGCAACTTGGAGCTTTCAGGACCGCGGACAGCGTCCAGGGAAGCAGGAGACGGCGAAGCGTCACCCTCCCCGGGCCAACTGGTCACCCGGAGCCGCAAACTCCTGCAAACTACCGGTAGCAGCAGCGCCACAGCCCTGACCCCCTCTCCCGGGGCCTCCTCTCCCGGGACCCCCACTCCCGGGGCCTCCTCTCCCGGGACCCCCACTCCCGGGGCCCCCGCTCCAGGGACCCCCCCTCGCGGGACCCCCTCTCCCGGGGCCACCTCTCCCAGGACCCCCTCTCCCGGGACACCCGCTCCCGGGGGCTCGACTCCAACGATTCCCAAACCCAGAACTCACAATTCCGGGAACCGCACTCCCAGGGCCCCCAACCCCAATCCCGGGCCCCCTGCTCCCCGGACCCCCAGTCCCTGGACCTCCAAGCCCGGGACCCGCACTCCCTCTCCCGGGATAATCCCAAGCAGCAGCAGCAGGCCGGGAGACCGAGACACAGCAGCGGCCAGCGGGAGCCCCCGATTAAAAGGATGTATTCGAGTGGGGGATGAGATCATTCCGGCCCCGACTGCAACTCCCCCGGGCACGAACAGCAGCCCCAAGACCGGAGAGAGCCCCGGGGCCGGGGACTGGGAGGTCCCTCTCGGCCATAGTAAGGGCGAGTACCCGATGGACCTGTTCAGTGTGGAACAGCGCAGGCATGGCTGGGTGGTCCTGCACGCCACTGGCATGGTTTATATGTTCATTGCTCTGGCGCTGGTCTGCGATGAATTCTTTGTCCCGTCTTTAGGGGAAATTATCGAGAAACTGCAAATCTCGGACGATGTGGCCGGGGCCACGTTCATGGCAGCGGGAGGCTCTGCTCCCGAGCTCTTCACCTCCCTGATCGGAGTCTTCATCTCCCACAGTAACGTGGGCATCGGTACCATCGTGGGCTCGGCCGTCTTTAACATCCTCTTCGTAATCGGGATGTGTGCAATCTTCTCCCGCGAAATCCTGCACCTGACCTGGTGGCCCCTGTTCCGGGACGTGTCCTTCTACATTTTGGATCTGATCATGTTAATCATCTTCTTCCTGGACAATCTGATCGAGTGGTGGGAAAGTCTCCTCTTACTGTCTGCCTACATCAGCTACGTCTGCTTCATGAAATTCAACGCGAAAATGGAGCGCTGGTTTAAGGGCAACATAATTAACAACAATAACGTGGTTAAAGTGATGTCGATGATGAACCCGGTCAAGGTGAGTGCTTTCGCCTTTAGATCCCAGTTTTGGCTGAGTGCCCGGAGCCTCATCATTCACAATGACAAAGAAATCGCCATTTGATGGTCTCCATTAGACCTGAAGTAATGGAAATACCGGGAAAGGAAGGCTCAGGGTTGGGACCAAGAACCAGACTTGATAAAAAGGCACGGGATTGGGAAGAGTCTGTTAGCTGGTTGGTCACAGGGTCTTAGGTTTTGAGGACCCGAAACATTAACTCAGTTTCTCTCTCTCTCTCCCTACAGATGCTGCCAGACCTGCTGAGTTTCTGCAGCGGTCTCTGTTTTTATCTCCTTTTCAAGTCTGTTTCTTGGGGTCTAGTCCTGACCAGCGCAGTACCAAAAGCTGCGACTTCTTTCTTTTTTATCAATGTTTACTTTCTGTACAGGCAAACATTTATGAAAGAGATTCCAGTTCAGCACAAAAAAAGACACATCCCATCTCACAACCCACCTTTCTCATTTCTGACTATTAATGATGTTCCATCTGATAGCAAGATTGATTCATTCAAATAATGTCCTGGTAAAAGGCAGCCTGGCAATGCTGGGACAATAGCTGTGATCACCCCTGTTTGAGGGTGCATGAGGGTGTTTGAGATTTTTAAAGGTGTTGTGAGTATTTGAGGGTGTGAGGGATTTTGAAGGAATGAGGGTGTGAGGGTGTTTGAGGGTGTAAGGGTGTTTGAGGGTGTGAGGGTGTATGAGGGTGTGAGGATGTTTGAGGGTGTGAGGGTGTTTGAGGGTGTGAGGGTGTTTGTCAAATGCAGCAATGGCCAGCTGTTTGAGCGGGGAGAATCGGTTGTGATGTTGGAGCACTGTGTCCGGTTTTAGGCTCACAGACGCTGCTTTGTGGAGTTAGTGATGTCCATCTTCCGTAGAAAGTGCGGGTGAAGTTCTGAGCCAGCGACAAATGATAGGTCTGATCTGGAGATCGTTTCAATGATACACGTACGTACATTGCCCGGTGGATCTAGAAGCTTAGTGAGGGCAGAATGGCGAGACTACTCATCGAGTCCAGCCGGTTCTGATGAGATTTGAAACAGAGCCGCCCGGAGGAACCCAAACTGACCATCAGTGAGCAAATTGTGGCTCAGTTTGAGGATTCCATTAGTAGATAATTTGTAGGTGAATTGAAAGGTGAGAGTGAGTTTAAAGCAAACTGAATCTTTTTTTATATAACATTAATGCAGAATCGTTTAATTGAATAACCACTTGGTAACTGAATGTATTTCATTTACAATAAAAGCAAAATATTATGGATGCTGGAAATATGAAATAAAAACAGAAAATTCTGGAGAAAGTCAGCAGGTCTTGCACCATCTGTGAAGAGAGAAAGAGAGTTAACGTTTAGAATCCAATATAACTCATGGAGTTTCTCCAGCACTTGCTGTTTAATACTTGGCTTGAATTTTGTAAGCAAATGGATGCAGTAAAAATCTTTTAATATTTCTGAAATAGTCCATGAACCCTTTGGTCACTTTGAGATGTAGACAGTGCAGCACTGGATTTTATAAGCGACTTCATAGAAACACTGAACCTGTTTCATGTACCAGGTTCCAGAAGCGCTGGTCAACAGGAGTTTAATAAAATGGTCCAGGCATGAGTTCCTGAACAACATTTGTACCAATCACATTGACATTTCACTGTCTCAGCAATGTCAAGAATTTCAGCAAGAGGGTCTGGAAGAAGCTGTACAAAGATGAGGAACAAATATTATTATGGAGTGAGTTGTGTATCTGTGTAGATGGGGAAGGTTCTATTTTTAAAGAAACAACTAAACCACCCTCAAAAGAGACTAACACTTTCCCGATTTAGTCAGCTTCAATAGCAGTTCCTATTTCTACCCAAATCCATCACCTTTAACTATTATAGTTACTTCTTGTTAAAGTCTGTAATCGTTTAAAATACTGAATCAGATTTCTATCATACAGCATTGTATGGATGTGAAGGGCAACACATGGCATTTCCCCTGAATAGCTGAACCACAGATGAACGATAATATAGAGTTGATGAGGAGGGAAAATTTTCCAACATTTGGTTAGTAAAATTACAATCCCATGACAGAATAGTGACAAATAACCCAACTAGTGGACATGAGATAGTAGGAACTGCAGATGCTGGAGAATCTGAGACAACAAGGTGTAGACTTGGATGAACACAGCAGGCCAAGCAGCATCAGAGGAGCAGGAAGGCTGAAGTTTCGGGCCTAGACCCTTCTTCAGAAAAAGGGTCTAGGCC